GCTCACAATGTGTTTAATGAGTATGGACTTACCTAAGAATTTGGGTTATCACTGTCAAGAAACTTGCTGCTCCAGGATATCTCAAGTGTGGAGCAATGGAGCTGGACATGAGAGTTAGGTTGTTCTAAGTACTAAGAAAGCCTCTCTACAGAAACATTACCCTCAGTGAGATTGCACAGTGCAAGACATAGCTCTGATATCTGGCTGCTTGTGTAAACATTACCCTCAGTGAGATTGCACAGTGCAAGACATAGCTCTGATATCTGGCTGCTTGTGTTCAAATCCCAGTTCTTTCACTCACTAGTCATGTGACCTGGGGCACATAACTTGTGGCTGCAGATTACATCTATTGTACTGTGTTAAGGAGAGTATGAAGTGAGATGATGCATGCGAAGCCCTTGACATGGATGGAGTGCTCAGTAACTGTCTTTGGTTTTTTATGTTGTTGTTGTAGAGCTTTTTTTTGTTTTGTTTTTGGTTGGTCATGGGGCTTGAACTCTGAGCCTGGGCACTGTCCCTAAACTCTTCAGCTCAAGGCTAGTGCTCTACTACGTGAGCCACAGCACCACTTCTGTTTTTCTGGTGATTTGCTGGAAGTAAGGGTCTCACGGACTTTTCCTGCCCAAGCTGGCTTTGAACCACAATCCTCAGATCTCAGCCTCCTGAGTAGCTAGGAATATAGGCATGAGCCACTGGCGCCTGGCCTAGCTTTGTTTTGTTAAATGAGATCCATGCTGAGAAAGGTGAGGGCTATGGAAGAAGTAGCAGGGTCCTCAAGGAGAGCATAGGTTAAAGTGATGTTGACAAATGTGTCTCCCACAGTGCATGGAAGCACTGACGGGAGGACGAAACTCTCATAAATAACACAACTGCATAGCCCAGAGAAGAAAAGTTACCTTGGCCACATCACTAACAAGTAACCTTAATTCTTTCTAGACTTCGATTTTCTATCTAAGTATACACACTGGACCCTTCAGATTGCAAGCTGTGCTATTATGGTCACTATGAGCTACATGTGAACATTTACATTTAAATGAACTAAAATCAAATACAATTTCAAGTCTAATGCCCTAGTCATAGAAGGCACATTTCAAGTGTCTATAGCCACATGTAGCCAAGGGCTGCCATATTCAAAACTGCAGAGCAGAACATTTCCATCATTGTAGAAAGTGTTATTGGAGAGCACTGGTCTACATTTATTTTTTTTTGCCAGTCCTGGGGCTTGAACTTAGGGCCTAGGCCTGAGCCACTTTAGCTCATGGCTAGCACTCTACCATTTGAACCACAATGCCACTTCTGGCTTTTTCTGTTTATGTGGTACTGAGGAATCGAACCCAAGGCTTCATGCATGCTAGGCAAGTACTCTACCACTAAGCCATATTCCAAGCCTGGCTTCAAACTTGCTATGTAGCCCAGGTTTGCCTCATACTCTTAGTCCTCTTGCCGCTACCTCCCAAGTGCCTGGATTCAGAGTTGAGCCACCATACTCTCCTTAACACAATCTAAACAGCTGTCTTTAATAATCACTGAGGATGGACAGTGGGTAGGGCAAGTCTGGGATCTGGCACCATCTAAAAGGCAGGAACTGAGGGAAGGGGTAGAGAATGGCCACTAGGATTCCACTGAGAACTCCTCACTCTAGTGTTCTACAATCCATGCCCTAGGTAAACGAAGGCACGTGCTGAGCATGGATGGCTTTCTCAGCTACCTATGCTCAAAGGATGGAAACATCTTCAACCCGGCCTGCCTGCCCATCTACCAGGACATGACACAACCTATGAACCACTACTTCATCAACTCCTCTCACAACACTTACCTCTTGGGGGACCAGCTTCGTGGCCAGAGCAGCGTCGAGGGATATATACGGTGCGGTAGTGACAAAGGAGGGGTCTAGCTCAAGAAAGGGACCTTCTGTGAGAAACTGAGGGCAGCTGTGAGTGGAGAACAGATTGTAGAGATAGAAAAGGGCTGGGGGAGCTGTGGGACCTTAGAGATCTGAGACACTTGCTAAGATATTAAAGAATAATGGGAGAATGTTAATGAAACCCTACAAGTGAATTCAGAGGCCCTGCCATATTTATTCTGAACAAGTAAATGTGGTAGGAAAGGCACTAGAACATGGGATTTAAAAACAGAAGTTCTAGAATCAAATCGTGGTTTATACTTTGTGTTGAGGTAGTCTTTGGTACTCACTTGGGGTTTTGTAGCTAAGCAATTAGCCTCTAGGCAACTGCCTATTTTCTCAAGGTTGTTAGGAAGATCAAATTAGATAATTCATGTATCTATAGGTAATAAGTATCAGCTGCATTTACTGTAATTAATCACAGATTTGATTGAATAGTTGACATATCATTATAAGAGCATCAAAGAATGCAAAAATGAATGAAGCTTTTACTAAAAAATGAGTGAAACCTCCAAGTTTCAATCTTAGCCTGTGTGAGGCACTGACTGCAATGGCTGGTAAAAGATACATAGATAGGCTGGGCACCAGTGGCTCATGCCTGTAATCCTAGCTACTCAGGAGGTTGAGATCTGAGGATCATGATTCAAAGCCAGCCCTGGCAGGAAAGTCCATGAGACTCTTATCTCCAATTAACCACCATAAAACTGGAAGCGGTGCTGTGGCTCAAGTGGTAGAGCACTCGCCTTGAAAAGTGCAGGGACAGTCCCCAATCCCAGAGTTCAAGTCCCACAACCAACAGAGAAAGAGACAGAGACAGAGAAAGACAGAGAGAGAGGCAGAGACAGAGACACAGAGACACAGAGACAGAGAGAGGTCCCTGAGAGTCTGAATATTGAAGAGCCTGAACATTGAAGTATCACTAGGCAATGAGTTGCTAAGGAAGGTTGTAAACTGAGAAGGATGAGGTTGGAGATTAGCGTGAGCTGCAGCCTTGTCCAGTGACATGGAGAAGGCTCCATGGAGATGTAGCTTGAAGGGGTCTAGATGAGTAAATACTGGTATACAGTACTTTTGAGACAGCTCTTACTACTTAACCCAGGCTTGTTTCAGAATGGGCAGAGGGTCTTTAGTGGCAGATCACATTTTGATGTCTCCTGCATCTGGGGTTCTTTCAGGGCCCTGAAGCGGGGGTGCCGCTGCGTAGAGGTGGATATATGGGATGGACCTACTGGGGAACCCCTTGTTTACCACGGACATACCCTGACTTCCCGCATCCTGTTCAAAGATGTTGTGACCACAGTAGCACAGTATGCCTTCCAGGTAGTTGTTCAAGGTTGGGAGCAGTGCTAAATAAGACAAGGGGGAACAGTAACTGGCTCTGAGTCTGGGGAAGGTGGAAGGGTGCAGGGAGGGTTCTTGCAAACAGCATGATATGCAAAAAGTAAGTTCTAACTCAAGTCCAGTACCAGTGGTTCACACCTATAACCCTAGCTATGTGGTTTGAAGCCAGCCATGGCAGGAAAGTCCATGAGGTTCTTATCTCCAAGTAAACTCCACAAGAAAAAAAAAAAGGAAAAGAAAAAAGAAAGGAAAAGAAAAGAAAAAGCCAGATGTGGCAGTGTGACTCAAGTAGTAGAGGGCTAGTCTGAAGCACAAAAGCACAAGGACAGTGCCTAGGCCCAGAGTTCAGGCCTCAGGACCAGCAAAAAAGAAAAAGAAAAATTGTAACTCTACAATATTAGATATTAAGAAAGAGTTATAAATAAGTGTTGGATGTGTCCCTAGTAGTCAGAAAGGTAATCATTGATTTCTAATCATTACCACTTATAACAATTTCCTAAGGAAACAGTAGAGCTGGGGCCAGTAAGAACCTGGAGACAGGGGCTGGGAAGGTGGCTCAGGGGTAGAGCGCTTGCCTTGCATGCATGAGGCCCTGGGTTCAATTCCTCAGCACCACATAAGCAAAAAGAAAAAAGCCGGCAGTGGTGCTGTGGCTCAAGTGGTAGAGCGCTAGCCTTGAGCTGAAGAGCTGAGGGACAGCCCCCACAGAGTTCAGGCCCCACGACTGGACCCCCTCCCCCCCCAAAAAAAAAGAACCTGGAGATGAAGGCCTCAAAATAGAATGTGGACACTGCAGGCCTGACTACCACTCTGAATCTGAAAGTGCAAGGGTCTCAGGGAACCTGGGTCAGACTTAGAACAGGGATGAGATATGGGGGACCAAGGGGGCTCTTTAGGAATAGCTAGGAGTAGCCCCCAGACTCAACAAAGCCTCATTGAGCCCTTTAACAGTTGTGAAAGAGTCTGGTAATCAGAGTACTCATTTGAGTGAATAAATGAGGGGGAAAGTTAGGAACCAAAGAGGTTAGAGGGTTTTGTAACACTAGATGCCACATCCTTCCCCCACCAGACAACAGACTACCCAGTCATCATGTCCCTGGAAAACCATTGCTCCTGGGATCAGCAGCGGACGGTGGCCCAGCATCTGACAGAGATCCTGGGGGAGCTGTTGCTGAACACCGCCTTGGATGATGTGCCCTTGAACCAGCTGCCCTCCCCTGAGGTAGGTACTTAGTGCTCTGTCTAGGCTTCCTGTAGCCTCCATATTCCTCACATAGCTACCTCTTGATCTTCCTTTCTTCCTTTCTTTCTTCTTTCCCTTGCCCTTTCCTTTCTTGTGCCAGCTCTGGAGTTTAAATTCAGCACCTCATACTCTTACTTAGCTTTTTTTGCTCAAGGCTGGTGCTCTACCACTTGGATCACACCTCCAACTTCTGGCTTTTTGTTGGTTAATTGGACATATCACAGCTTTGTCTGCCTGGGCTTGCTTCGAATCAAGATCCTCAAATCTCTGCCTCCTGAGTAGCTAAAGTTTATGTGTATGAGCCACTGATGCCCAACTTGATCCCATCTTTCTATCTTCAGATAGACTTTCTCTTTAGCATGCCTGGAGACAACTTAAATTTTGGAAGATTTAATTGAACACAGAATCTACTTATAGTTCTTAAGTTTCAAGTCATTATGTGCTGTAAATTTCATTTGCAATGGAAATATCTTAATTTTTGGTAGTAATTTGTGTAGACTATACAAAAATACAAAGGGAACTCTTACCCCATTATAATCCCAAACTTTTCAAAAAATCTATCAATAGATGATTTTATTTAAATCCCAGGACCTCTATCACTGAGCTACACCCTCAGTACCTATCATGAGATTTTTAAAGACTTATGTAAACATATATGTGTATATTAACATATATACACACACAGTACTGTGGTTTGAGCTCTAGGCAGGTCTTACTGTGGAGCCATACTTCCAGCTCTGTTTCCTTCTGATTATTTTTTTTTTCTTCCTTGTTGTGGGGCTTGAACTCTGGGCCTGGGCACTGTCTCTCAATTCTTCAGCTCAAGGCTAGCACTCTACCAACTTGAGCCACAGCACCACTTCCAATTTTCTGGTGGTTTATTGGAGATAAGAGTTTCATGGCCTTTTCTGCCTGGGCTGGCTTTGAACCGCATTCCACAGATCTCAGCCTCCTGAGTAGCTAGGATTACAGGCATGGGCCAATAATGCCCAGCTTTCTGGTTACTTTTTGAAATAGCATCTCACTTTTTATCTGAGCATGATCCTTCCATGTTAGTTTTCCCAGTGTAGCTAGGATAACAGGCACGCATCACCTTATCCAGCTCTCCTCAAGTAGTCTGGTCAGAAGCTGGTGGCTCATGCCTGTAATCTTAGCTACTCAAGAGGCTGAGCTATGGAGATCGTGGTTTGAAGCCAGCCCAGGCAGAAAAGTCTCCATGAGACTCTTATCTCCAATTAACCATTAAAAAGTGGAAGTGGAGCTATGGCTTAAAGTGGTAGAGCATTGATCCTGAGCAAAAGAGCTCAGGACAGTGCCCAGGCCCTGAGTTCAAGCTCCACGACCACCAAAAAAAAAGGGGGGGCAGGGGAGATCTGGTTAACTTTTCTTCCTGGGCTGGCCTCAAATCTTGATCCTCCTAACTTCAGCCTCTCAGGTAGCTAGGATTACAGGCATGAGCCACCAGGACATGGACATTTTTTTTCCATAATAGCTTTATATTGTTCTAGTTTAAGTAATTAGTCATAATTTATCCAGTTGAACATTTGGTAGACATTTAGGTTGTTTATAATTCTTGTACATATATCCTTAGCCACTTATTCTTTCTTTGAAATAGATTCCTAGAAGCAGAATTGTTGGGTTAAAGAGGTTAAAGTTTCTATTCTGACATTTTTAATTGTCACTGTCAACTTCCCGCTTTAAAAAAATTACCAAATTATACCCCAAAGAGAAGAGAGTGACTACAAATAACTTCATAAATGACATGATTCAGATTCATAATGGAAAGTGTTGGGAAAAAAGGAGGGGATGGGGCTGGGAAGGTGGCTCAGTGGTAGAGCACTTGCCTTGCATGCCTGAGGCCCTGGGTTCGATTCCTCAGCACCACATAAGCAAAAAGAAAAATGCCGGAAGTGGCGCTGTGGCTCAAGAGGTAGAGCGCTAGCCTTGAGCTGAAGAGCTGAGGGACAGCGCCCAGGCCCAGAGTTCAAGCCCCACAACCGGACCCAAAAAAAAAAGAAAAAAAGGAGGGGATGTTTTAGTTTGAGGTTTTTGCTGCTGTGGTTGTCATTCTGCTTTATTTTGTCTACTGAGACAGAGACTTGCTATGTAGTCCAGAGTGGCCTCCTGCTCCAGCTTCCCAATTCTTGGGATTATTGGCATGAAGCAAAAAAGCTAAGAGATATTACCCAAATCCTGAATGTAAGCCCAGTACTAAAAAAATAAAAAAACAGAAAGATCTTTTTTTTTCTTTAATCATGATTATTCAAAAAGATAATCTATCTTCTCATAATCTCACCATATGTATGAACCTATGTATCTATATATCCTTTTAACTTAAAGGAGATTTTAGTGGATCAAATGTGAAGTAGGGACCTACATTTTTTTTCTTCCAAATGGATGAAAATGTTTAAGAAGGGAATCCATACTGTGTGTGTGTGTGTGTGTGTGTGTGTGTGTGTAGAGAGAGGGGGGCGAGAAGGAGAGAAAAGAGAGAGCGAGAGCAATCTCTTCCTAGGAGAACTGTGTGCCTGCTTGGTCATATCTGGTACTCCACTACTTGAGCAATACCTCCAACCTAACTTTTGGCTGTGTAATTAGAGATGGAGGCTTGTGAACTGTCCTGCACAGGCTGGCTTTGAACCAAGATCCTCCAGAATTACAGGCATGAGCTAGTTATTATTCCTAGGGTAACTTCTAGCCATTTAATTTCTTCCTCTGCTTTTTTTTTGGGGTCCAGTCGTGGGGCCTGAACTCTGGGCCTGGGCGCTGCCCCTCAGCTCTTCAGCTCAAGGCTAGCACTCTACCCCTTGAGCCACAGCGCCACTTCCGGCTTTTTTTTCTATTTACTTATATGGTGCTGAGGAATCGAACCCAGGGCCTCATGCATGCAAATCAAGCGCTCTACCACTGAGCCATCTTCCCAGCCCCCTTCCTCTGCTTTTGAGAACAACGGAAACTTCATGAGGTTCCATGAAGCCCTGGGGGCAGAAACTGAATTTCTCTCTTCATTTTTGTCTCCTAGAGGCTTCGGGGTAAGATCCTGATAAAGGGAAAGAAGCTAACAACAAATGAGGAGGAGGAGGATGAAGAAGAAGAGGACCTGCACTCTGAGCTGGAGAGAAGGCAGGGCACAGAGCTAGAGCCAGACCCCTACTCTGAGATTGAGACTCATTCTGTGCCTGCACCTGAACTCCAGCTTCAGGTTAAGGACAAAATGAAGGTACACAGTTGGAGTGGTTTTTCTGCTGGACATCTGAGTACAGGGCATTCAGCTGAGGGCTGGTTTCTGAAGAGATTAGAGTCAATAGAGTAGAAGGCCAAGAAGAAAACAATCCTTCCTCTAATGAAAAGACATAAGAATATATGCATAGCATTATAATACTTGAGATATTGCCATGTATCAATACATTGCAGTGACTTTCCAACTTCTTGGGGCCATGAGATCTTTTTCTTTTTTTTTAAATGAAATTGACATAGAGGCTTAGTATACAAAATAGATAGTGCACAACTATTCTAACTGAAGCCCCCCTACTGGGTCTTAGTGGGATGTGTAGGATCCCAGGATGGGCAAGTGGGTAAGTTACAAGAAAAGAGGATTTTAAGGGGTTAGGTACTTCTCAATCTCCATAAGAGCTAGTTTGAGTTGGGCACTGGTGGCTTATGAATGTAATCCTAGCTACTCAGGTGGCTCAGCTCAGGATCACACTTCAAAGCCAGCCCAGGTAGGAAAGTCTGTGAGACACTTATCTCCAATTAATCACAGAAAAAGCCAAAAGTGGTGCTGTGGCTCAAGTGGTAGAGTGCTAACCTTGGGCAAAAGGAGCTTAGGGACAGCCCCTAGGCCCAGAGTTCAAGGCCCAGGAGCTGCAGAAAAAAGAAAAAAAAAAAGAGCTAGTTTGAAAATCACCAATAGGGGTGTATATGTGTGTGGGGGGGCGTGGTAATCACCTTTATATTGGCTAAGTAGGGATTACTGGAGTGACTGGTGTACCCTCAATTATAGTAAATTTAGGGACCATTTCATGGGAAGGGTTAAGTCTGGGCTTGAGGAGCCAGAAATGCCCAAAAGTGAGCCAGAAAGGAGGAGAAATCTGACGTGGAGAAGGTGGAGGCCTCAAGACTATGCCAGCACAATCCACCCATTTCTGTCTGGGAAAGAGGGAGACCGAGGTGGGAGGGATGCCACTGGTGGGTCCTCTAAGACCCTGGTTTGAAGTCTGCTTTTCTCTCTCTTGTGCACTTGCTTGGTTCACTCACCTGACTTCTAGCTAATCTTGTTCTTTCTGGGGTTGTGGTGATTAGCCTGCTGTCACCACATTAGGAATGGAAATGAGAACTTAGGAGACAAATCCAAAGATGATATACTGGGACCACTGCATACTTTCAGGTGTGAATTCCATGACCATATTGCATTCTTAATGTATCTGCATAGACTCATGTACATTCTGGCCAGATTATCATTCATTTATTTGAAAAGACAAGAGAGAGTAATCATATGTTAAAAAATCTATTACCCAAGATGTGAAATAAAGCGGATCCTCCAAACAGAGCAGGTGCTTTAGCCTCCAGAGGCTAACACAGATGACACTAATATATAAAGACTGCTTTTTTGGGGGGTGTATATCCCAATCTTTGGCTGGGCACTATCCTTGAGCTTTTGTGCTCAAGGTTAGGGCTCTACCACTTGCACCACAGCTCCACTTCCAGCTTGTTGGTGGTTAATTGGAGGTAAGAGTCTCACAGACTTTCTTGCCTAGACTGGCTTTGAAATGTAGTCCTCAGGTCTCAGCCTCCTGAGTGGCTAGGATCATAGGCAGGAGCCATCAGCGCCCGGCAGATGAAGACTGCTTTTATTCCCATCCCCACTGCCAGGTTATGAGGTGCTTGCCGACTTCTCTGCCTAGTTGTTGTCAGACTTTGATCCAGCCTCCTAATACCAATCCTGGGCCTGTTGTATTGACCAAGCAGGTGAGGCAGGAAGGAAGAATGCAGTGGGGGAGGTAGTAATGGGAAGAGGTTTAGGTTGGACCGCCATTAGCTTCTTCCCTCACAGAATGCTAAGGATTCAATTCCATCTTTCTCTCTACTTTCTTCTCCAGAAAGCCAAGGCCATATTATGTCCAGCCCTCTCTTCTCTGGTTATCTACTTGAAGTCTGTCTCATTCAAAAGCTTCACACATTCAACGCAACACTACTACTATGGGATAGCATCCTTCTCTGAAAACAAGGCCAAGCACCTCATCAAGGAGGCTGGTCAGGATCAAAATGGAAGGAGAGGGAGGGAAGTGGGATGGGTAGATTCAGGCCTTGTAAGCAGGCAGGTAAGTCCCAAACAAGAGGATAAGGGAGATAGGAAGAGATAAAGAAGCAAAGGGAAAGGACTTATGACTAGTGGGCACAAAGCTATAAGGGGAGGAAAGTTTGGGGGAAGATGATCCGAATGGAACACAACAGAGGCACACTGAAGCTCTCTGCAACCAGCTTCAGATGTTGAGAAGAATGGAGTGAGCAAGGTCCTTAGGACCACTCAAGTAGAAGAATGAGCCTTGAATGGAGGGGACTTCTAATACCTTCCCTGTTCCCTTTCACAGGCAATGATTTTGTGCACCATAACACTTCTCAGTTAAGCCGTATATATCCCGGTGGTCTGAGGACAGATTCATCGAACTTCAATCCCCAGGAATTCTGGAATGTAGGCTGCCAGATGGGTAAGGGGGTACTAAGAACAAGGAGGGAGTGGAGGCGCAAGCAGCTGATGCAAAAAAAGTTTACCAACAGAAGTAGGGCCAGGGAATTCCTTAGAGTGCTAGGGTAAGAAATGTTATCTATGGAGATGTTCCCAATGGGCAGGCTCCTCTCTCCTCCCCTTTCTCTTCTCTGTCCCCTCCATCTTCGCCTGTTCTCCATTCCTTTCTCTCTCCTCCCCTTTCTCCTCCTCTTCTAGGCAGGGTCTCCTTATATAGCCCAGGCCAGCTTTAAACTCGCATCTTGCTTCAGCCCCCGAGGTGCTAGGATGGCAGGCATATATTAGCTCTAGCTCCCACAAGGACTTGTATACCCAGTACTTGTCTTTTTAGTCCCTGCCCTGAAAGAGGAGCTGGAAGGTTCCCAAAGTGAATTTTGACCATCTTTTCTCTTGCGATTCTCAGTGGCTTTGAATATGCAGACCGCAGGACTTGGAATGGATATCTGTGATGGGTTCTTCCGCCAGAATGGCAGCTGTGGCTACGTGCTGAAGCCCAAATTTCTGCGCGATCCACAGAGTTCCTTCCACCCCGAGAGGCCCATCCAGCCTTTCAGAACCAAGATCCTCTTAATTCAGGTATGATGGATACTGAACATGGGATATGTGGGAGGGAAGCAGGGGGAAGAAATGAGATCTTGAGAGAGTACAATTGCTTGAAAACTTCTTGAGACTAGATGGCCTGATTGCTAGCAGTACAGATTTTGGAGCCAGCTGCCTAATTTCAAATCTGTTTAGTGTTTTGGGCAAGTTTCTTTAACCTCTGTGAACATCAGTGTAAAATGAGGCTACTCCTATCACCCACCTCACAGGGTTCGGAGAACTGCAGCAGCCAAGATTAAATGTTTATTCTAGTGCATAGTAAGAGGCTGTGGTCCTTGGTGTGCCTTTCAAACTTTTTTTTTTTTGGTTGTGGGGCCTGGGCGCTGTCCCTCAGCTCTTCAGCTCAAGGCTAGCATTCTACCACTTGAGCCACAGTGCCACTTCCAGCTTGGTGGAGGAATCAAACCCAGAGCCTCATGCATGCGAGGCAAGCACTCCACCACTGAGCCACCTTTCCAGCCCCAACCTTCTTAATTTCTAACTGGAAACCTATTACCCGTGGAGGATCCATTTTGTAAACCAAGAAGCTATAGCTATGTGTGGTCCTCCGTCTTTGCTTCCCCGGGGGTATGAGGAATGAAGGGCACCTGGCTGAGCAGAAACTCATGAAGGTCCAGTGCCCTGATTGCAGGTGATCAGTGGTCAGCAACTCCCGAAAGTGGGCAACACCAAAGAGAGGTCTATCGTGGATCCGCTGGTGAAAGTGGAGCTCTTTGGCATTCGTGAAGACACAACCCGGCAAGAGACCAACTACGTGGAGAACAACGGTGAGCGACTGGGCAGTGCAGAGAAATGACTGCTGTTGCCCTTTTATCTTCTCCTTCATTGACTCTAGTCCATTTCTCCACCTCCACACCCTACTATGGGAAGCAGGTGGACAATACAGAGAATCTAGCCCCCTCCCTTACAGGCTTGTTACTTGGGAAAATGGCTTACTCCTTCTGTGTCTTTCCTCACCTGCAAAATGCTGAATGCCATCTAGATTAAATAATACAGGGAAAGCCACTCCATGTGGATCTAACAGAGATAATCAATGTCTATTTCTTCATTTCCCACCTGTCACCACCTCAGGTTTTAATCCATACTGGGGGGAAACATTATGTTTTCATGTCCGGGTGCCTGAACTTGCTGTGCTGCGTTTTGTCGTTAAGGATTATGACTGGAGATCCCGAAATGACTTTATTGGTCAGTTTACTCTGCCTCTGAGCTGTATGCAACAAGGTGAGACAGTCCTTGGAAACCTTGGTCAACACTGCAACTCTGGCTGCCTTCCTAATAATAGTTTTCCTGCCCCATCCTAGGCTACCGCCACATACACCTGCTCTCCAGAGATGGCATCAGCCTCCAGCCAGCTTCCATCTTTGTGTACACCTGCATCCGAGATGACCTACAGGAGGAGGATTCTTGAGGTGGGTACTTTGTAGGAAGGGTGAGAAACACCTGGAACGATGCTCCAGAGAAAACAGACGTGAAAAGGATACTTTGGTTTGTGTATTCCTACGCACAAAATTATCTAATAGGCAAATCTAAGAGCTGACTTTCCATCTTCTCTTCCCTTCCCTTCTCTCGTTTTCACAGGCCTTTAGTATCTTTCCTGCCCTTTCCTTTTGTGTACCCTCTACTGGAGTTCCCTCCTTCCTCCTGCAGTAGGCTCAGTTCCATACTCAGATCTACTACTAATTTCTCCCATCAAATCTGGTACGAAGGCAGACTGCAACTATAAACCCAGAATGGGGATTGGAGCAGAGAAACCTACAGAAGCATGACCCCTTCCATCCCTAACTTCCTCCATGCTGAGAACCAGGGAAGGATAAATCAAAGCTCCCCAGGCCAAAAGCTGGAGACAGATTCCTGATCCTAGACTGTACTGATTCTCCAGAGAATACTGCACAGCCCTGTCCCCACCGGACTGCTCCTCCTCAGCTGGTATAAATAGAGCTTTTCTCTTCAACTTGGCTTCAGAATGGTCTCTTGTTGGGCAAGGATGGAGGGACATTTGGGCTGTTGAGTGGATGAAAATGGTATAGATGTAAGGTTTCCCAAGGCCCCTCCTATGTGCAGCAGCATAGCCTAGGGAGGACAGAGAAGAGAGGCTTCTAAGGGGCAAAGCCAAAGAAGAGGAGAGGGCTGATGTAGTCCAAGCCTTCCTGAAGAGTTTGCCTAAAACAATCCCAGTTTATGTCTTTTGTGTCCCTGAATAATTAATAGCATCCTCTTTAATTTCCCCAGTGTGTCCCAGCTGAGAGGATGAATTACATAGAGAGGCACTACAGAACATAATAGTGAAAATTCTGGATTGGACACTTCCTTCCCTAATGAGCTGCCCTCCACAGTGCCCTGTGCTTTCACTTGGTATAGATAGCTAAGTGAGCCAGTCTGAGGGACTCATGACTAACGCTGTCTTCAGGGAGAGGCTTAGTGGGTGGCAATCCTCCTCCAAGCAAAGGGAAGTAGAGAGCAAGGCAATAGCCAGGACAGACTCAAGGACAGAGAGGGCAGTCATAGGTTTGTTTAAGAACCTATCTCTGAGTGAAAGTAGAAAGGACAAAGGAGCTCTAAGACAAACCAAGTTCTAAAAGGGGACAGGACAAACAGGGTGAAAGCTCGTAAGCACTGTTTAACATGCTTTATAGTTATTAGGCACAGTAGCACATGCAGTTAGATACAACTCTTTGGGCTAGATACAGTAACAAGGAAGATGGAGTGGACAGACTGGACAATATCAAGATCTTATAGCCAGGATTCTGGTAAAATGATGGCAAAGAAACTGGAAATTCATCCCCATGTAACAGAGCACCTCAAGAGGAAATCAATGTTTTGGTCCATGTCTCTCTTTTATATAGGCATTAATTTCAAAGAATAATGCTCAGAGTCTGGTGGGAACTGAGAGAGTTCTAGTCACAGTAACATCCCAACGCCAAAGCCAGTTCTCCCTCAGGCCTGGTACTCCTTAGGCCAGCCCCATCCCACTGTGTGCATGTAGGACCATATGTTCTTCCTGTCTGGGAGCTGCAGAAGGCACTCAGCCCTCAGGTCCTGTGGTAGGTACTGCCGGAGCAGGAGGGCTGGGATTCTCCAGCTTCACATCATGCAGGTGCACTGTGGGGGTGGTGGGGTCTTTGCCCACACCTTGGTTGGGGTCAGCCTGGTCAGGGTGGTGCCTGCGCACATGTTTGACCACCTGGAACTTCTGCTTGGCTTTGTAACTGCAGAGGCGGCAGAAGAAGGGATGGCGGTCGGTGTGGGTGAGGGCGTGGTGGCGCAGGCCAGCAGCCCAGCGGAAAGCGCGGTGGCATACGTTGCACACGTAGGGTTTGGCCTCACTGTGCTTGCGCAGATGGGTGCGCAGCAGGAAGCGTGTTTTGAAGGCCTTGCCGCACTGTTCACACATGAAAGCCCGTGCCTCACGGTGCCGGGTCTCTTGGTGTACCCGTAATGCATCGGCACGGTTGGTACGGTACTCACACTCAGGACACCGGTATGGCTTCAGTCCTGTAGGACAGGGAACAAATCACCACTGAAGAGGGTAGAAGAAGGTTTAGTGGGCCCTAAGAGTCACTATGGTACTAGGATATAAAGAACACAACAAGCTGACTAAGAAGACTCTATTTTTTTTTTTTTTTTTGGTGCTGGTACTGGGGCTTGAACTCAGGGACTTGTGCTCTTGCTTGGCTTTTCCACTCAAGGCTGGCATTCTACTATTTGAGCTACACCTCCACTTCTGGCTTTTTCCTGGTTAATTAGAAATAAGGAGTCTCTCATATTTGTCTGCTAGGGAACCATGATCTGCAGATCTCAGCCTCCGAAGTAGCTAGATTACAGGCGTGAGCCACCAGTCCTGGCTAATGACTGTATCTTTATATTGGGAATATATATGTTCTGTACCTTTCTCTCAGTACAGCTCTTGTACATACATAGGTTTCCAGGGAATGGTAATGGCTAAGTTAACTGCTAACCAAGCAGCCATCTGATAGTAAAGAATAGTCAAATATGGTAGTGTTCAAACTGGACAGTTACGATCCCAATCTTCTTTGGGAAATGGGATACTTATAGTTTTGGGGAATCCATTTTTACTCAAAAAGTAAAAAAAAAAAAAAAAAAAAGCTTTAAAAAGGAAGAGGCAAAATTGAAAGCAGAAGCACTCAGAAGCAGAGGCCTTGAAATGCATCCAATCAGTTCCCCCATATATGGGGGACCATTTTTTTGTGATCACTTGCTCACAACCATTGATGTTTTACAAAGAACACATAGTCTGTGGGATCCACATACCCAGGAGCAGGATACTCTACATTTTCTCCTTTCTATTCATGATATTCGCATCATACTTTTACTTAGTTTTTTAAAATTTTTTTTGTTTTTAACTTTTTAAGTTTATTGTAGGGGCTGGGAAGGTGGCTCAGTGGTAGAGCGCTTGCCTTGCATGCCTGAGGCCCTGGGTTCAATTCCTCAGCACCACATAAGCAAAAAAGAAAAAAGCCGAAAGTGGCGCTGTGGCTCAAGTGGTAGAGCCCTAGCCTTGAGCTGAAGAGCTGAGGGACAGCGCCCAGGCCCAGAGTTCAGGCCCCACAACTGGAACCCTCCCCCCAAAAAAAGTTTATTGTAAAGTTGATGAACAGGAGTGTTACAGTTCTTTACATAAGGTAGTGAGTACATTTCTTTATAAACACTACTAACACATCATGTTTATGTAGGAATCAAGTATTTGCCATCAAATTTGAGTTCTCAGTGGTGGATGACCTTGTACCACAATTACTTGAGAAGTTTTTGCAAAATACACATGTGTCCAGGCTCTTGAGTGTGCCCCTCTTCTATTTCCAATAGATGTACAGTGGTTTGGGAGTCACTTTGATACACACTATCCCAGCCTATCTCCTATCCCCAGAGTGAAAACTGCCTGGCTCTGAATCTGAGCAAGGATAGATGCCACGTGGTGTGTGGGTATACGGTATATGGGAAACCCTTTAGGTTTTTCAAGATTACAAAGACTTACCTGTGTGCTTGGTCATGTGGTACTTGAGCTGGTTGACCCACTTGCACTTGTAGCCACACTCAGGACATAGGTACTTCCGTTCCTCCTTGTGGATTCGCATGTGGTACTGGAGAAGGAAGTAGAAAATAGGTGTGCCACTTGGGACTCATGAAATTCGAGTAGGGACAGGTAGGCTGAGAAAGTGTTAGTACATAACTCTGTTACTTTCTCTCAGCCTTTCCATACCCTCCTTGGGACCAGTGAGGTCTCCCAGAATGATACCAACTTAATCCTTTTAGCTTTTACCTAGGTCTGCCCTGACTGTCTCAGCTCTGCTTCTTATTATCCATGTTCTTTTCTTTCTTTTTTTGTTTTTTTGCCAGTCCTGGGCTAAGGCCTGAGCACTGTTCTTGAGCTTCTTTTTTTGCTCAAGGCCAGCACTCTACCACTTGAACCACAGCAATACTTCCAGCTTTTTCTGTGTATGTGGTACTGAGGAATTGAACCCAGAGCTTCATGCACACAAGGCAAGCACTCTACCACTAAGACTCACTCCCAGCCCGTCATCCCCACCAAACTACTACATGCCTTTATCATATGTGGCAAATGTGTCTTATAGAATTGCATCTTTCCAAAAATCGTATGAAGTTGGTTACATATGATTCCCCCTTTCACAGATGAGGGACCTGAGTCCTGTAGAAGTTAAGGAACTTGAACAAAGTCATACAGCTAATATGTGCAAGAGTTAGGACTACAGAACCCAGAGCCTATTCCTTGCTGTGTGGCCCCTGACCCTACCTTGAGGCGAGAGGGGTCAGCACAGGCGTAGGGGCAGAGGTGGCAGCGGTACGGCTTCTCCCCCGTGTGGATGCGGCTATGCCAGGTGATCTTCTGCCGGTTCTTGGTGCTGTAAGCGCAGTCGGTACACTTGTAGAGGCGGGTGCCTCCATGCCCCTTCACGTGGTGATCCAACACCAGCTGATGGCGACACGCAAAGTCACAAAAGGGACAGTGTAGGGGGGGCTGGCTAGCATCTCTGTCCCCATCGGAGGCCGCTGCAGAAGTCTCCTCGTGCTGTTCCAGGTAGTGCTTCACCAGGCCCACCCGCTCCCGGGCAGCAAAGTCACAGAGCTGGCAGCGGTGGCTGAAATGCTGCTGTCTCCGGTGCTCATCCAGTGCGAGCCGGCTGGAGAAGGCCTCCTGGCAGGCGCCACACTCTAGCCGTGGGTGCTGTTTCCGGGTGTGTCCTCTCAGGCTGGCAGGGCTGGGGCACAGCAAACCACAGTGGGAGCAGTGCAGGGGGCCCTCACTGGCCTCTGCAGCAGAGCCAGGAGCAGGCTGTGTGGACTCGGGGTGTCGCCGCAGAGCATGCTGCTTGAGTGCTGTCTCTGAGCTGAACTGGGCCTCACACTGGGTGCAAGAAAAGGCGGGGGTGCCCTGGTGGCAGCTATTGACATGGCGTGTGATGTCATGACGAAGATAGCCACTATAGTCACAGAGTGGACAGAAGTGGGTGGGTGTTTTGTCGTGGACCCTTAGTCGGTGCAAACGTAGTTTCGAGTTGGTACCGAATGTCTGGGAGCAGGAACTGCAAGGGATGCGGCCAACACCTGTGTGGCGAGACTGGTGAGCCTCTAACCGGTACCGCCTGGTGGTGGAAAAGTCACAGAAAGGACACTGATGAGGCTTCACCCCCTCGTGCTTGAGCCGCCGGTGCTGCTGCAGGCACCGACTCTGCTTACAGGTGAAGCCACAGTCAGCGCACTGCAAGGCGGGCCGGGGACCCCGGGCAGCGTTTGCAGTGGGGTGCCTCCGCTTCTGGTGGAGTCTCAATGCAGTGGCAGCAGGAGCAGTGAAAGGGCAGAGGCCACAGTGCAGGTCTCCGGGCTTTCCAAGCGGGCACCCTTGGGTTTGGTGAGTCCTCAGCGCCCGTTCCTGTTGGCAGCTAAAGGGACACGTAGGGCAGAAGAGAGGGCCCTTTGGTTTCTCAGTCAGACTGGCATCCCCACCACCAGGGTTATTAGACTCTGGACTCCTGTTACTCAGGGGTGCAGTGTCCCCACTGCTCACAGAAGACACAGCAGGGCGGGTGTGGGAGGAGCCTCGCTTTCCTCTCCTGCCACGTCCTCGACAGCCCTCCGTCACATGAGAGGTGATAGAGGAAAGCCGAGAACAAAGGAATGTGCAGGAGTTGCAATGGAACTTGCCCTGGTCAAAGTGGAACTTCTCGGGGCTTTCTGCAGATGACGTATTTCCTATAGGAGGTGCTGGAGAGCCAGAAGGTGTGGCAAGAAGCTCCTCTTGGTCCCCTGGCTCCCCGGGGAGTTCAGGGACAGCTTTTGGAAGCTCTAGCTCTGCCTCAGAGGGTACCAGTGCGGGCTTCACACTTTTGGTATCTTCTGAGGCCTGGGTGGCCGGGAGCTGAGTGTGCAGGGCAGTGGGAGAAGGTGGTCGGGGCAAGCCCTTGTTCTTTCTGAGCAGAACAGGGCACTTCTTCAGCAGGTGGGTACTGAGGCCTCGCTGCTGTTTAAAGCTAGCTCCACACTCGGGGCACAGCAGGGGCTCTCGGCGGCCCTGGCATCCTGATCTGGAGTGCAGCTTCAGGGCCTTCTCCCGGCGAGTAATAAAAGGGCAATGTGGACAGCGGAAGGCCTGCCCCTCTCCCTGGATCACTACCATCTGCACACGTCCCTCTAGCACCAGTGCCTCTGCTTGTTCTTTATCCTGCCTCCGCAGAACCTTTAGCAGTGATTCTGACTCAGGGAACTGAGGCGAGGGGGTCATCTCAGCGCATGGTGTTGCCTTGAGGGTTCCCACCCAGCTGTTAGGAGCCTCCTCTAAGAGGGGAGGATTTCCAGGGGGTTCAGGGACTGACTTCTCCGGAGTGGGCTCTTCTTCAGTACCTAAGCTAGGAGTCCCCACACATTCACAGTGAGACAGTGCTTGCCCTTCCAGTCCATCTGGCCCGTCCAGTTCCATTGGTCCTGAGGGATCCAGGGGCCTGAACTCCACAGGGGCCGTTTCAGTGAGTTCCTCAAGGGGTGGCTCAGCCACAGGTTCCAGCTCTACTCCCAGAGCCTCTAAGTGTAGTGTGCAGCCACCTTCCTCCACTTCCCCTGGGCTGGCACTGCCTTCGAGACCGTCCCCGTGAGGAGCCTCACTCTCTTGTCTCCTGGTGCTGATGTCATCCCTGGTCTCTGGAAGGGTCTGGTCCAAGCTGGGGTCCACCACAGTCTCATGTTCATGGCCTGGCTCCTGAGGCTGGGAAGATAGCTGACTTGAGGGTTCTGAGTCTGGTGGAGGTTCCAGGCACTGCCTGGTCCCCTCTGACTCAAGGCTGGCACTGTGGAACTGCAAGATCTGTTCTCCAGGCACGTAACCGTGAGCCTTCCGCTTGTGGAAGAAGAGTGTGGTATTGCTGAAGGTGCGGTAGTCGCAGAGTGCACAGTGGAACTCTCGGAGCCGGGTGTGCTTGCAGTTCTCATGGCTCAGCAGGGCCTGCTTGTGGCGGCTCTGGTAGCTGCAGTAGCGGCAGGGGTAGAGTGGGGCTGGTGTGCCAGCGTGGTGCTGGGAAGCCATGTGCTTCTGCAGCTCGTACTTCCGCTTACAGGCAAAGGCACACACTTCGCACATCAGGGTCTTGCCCTGGTGCCGCAGCTTGTGGCTGCTGAGCTGATCAGCCCGGTGGCAGCGATAGGAGCATTGGTTGCACTGATATCTGGCGAGAAGGAAAAGAGGTGCGCAATCACAATGATTAACCAGTCACAATGGCTAAACACTATGGGCCAGGCTCTGTACTCTGTATTGTATAAGCATCATTTACTTTCTACTACTATAGGAAACAGACATTTCTATTTTATAGGCAGGAAGATCGAGGCACGGAAGCTAACGACCTGCCTAAGGTTGTGAGTGGAAGAGCTTGTGTTCTAATTCATATTCTATATGCTTCCTAAAGGAAAATAATGGTGACTCAGCACCACCTGCTATGGACTGCTAAGGTGTGCCAACATGGGTATAGCTAACAGGGTGTATGGGTCTTGGGCAGACTCTGGGCCTACTTCGCATTTGCCCATACAGGCATGAAAGCTAGAGAGAACTTCCCTGTCCTCCACCCCAGCCAACAGTGCCCATAGGTGAGAGGAACTTGTCTGGCATTGGAAGCATCCATTTGGTGCCGTAAGTGGATATTCTCTCCCCTTCCCAGGACCAGACTCTGTAAAGCCAAGTGATACTTTACGCTCTAGCCTATCCTCTAGGTCTATACTCCCTCCCAAGGCACAGAGAGTTCTCACTAGGCAGAGTGGGCCACAGGCATAGGGGCCAGCTGTAGGCAATGGAGATGGCTGGAAGAGCCTGACAGGCAGACTCTCCAGGGACTGGAGAAGGCAATAGGGCCTGAAGCTGGATCCACGGATGCTAGTTTGGCAAGACTCTTGGGATAGAGGTGGAAGCATGTGTGTACTTGTACCTGAGGTCCCCTGCGTGTTTTCGCATGTGCACACTGAGGTAGTGCTTCCACTTGGTGACATAGCCACATTCAGTGCACATGTAATCCTTGGTGTTGGAGTGAGTTAGCATGTGCTTGGATAGATAGCTCACATCTCGGCACGTGAAGTCACACAGCTCACATTTGTGAGGTTTCTCACCTATTATTGGGGGAAAGGGTTTGGATAAGAGAGGAAAAGAAACAGGACAGATACAGATTCAGATTCCTCCAGCAAGCTTCCCCTGATTCCAAGCAGGAGCAAGAGCTTCATGTGTTACCTGAGGTATGGAAACTGTAACAACAATCAAGGCTGCTTCACAGAGCTCTCCAACAACTCCTCCTACTTCTATACCAGTGAAAAGAGGACAAAAGCTGAGCTTTTCCAAACTAGCTCTAAACCGGGTGTCGGTTGCTCACGCCTGTAATACTAGCTACTCAGGAGGCTGAGATCTGAGGACCACGGCTCAAAGCCAGCCCAGGCAGGAAAGCCCCTGCAAGGCTCTAATCTACAATTAACTATTCAAAAGCCAGAAGTGGTATTGTGGTAGAGCCTTGAGCAAAAAAGCTAAGGGATAGTCCTGAGTTCAAGCCCCATAACTGACAAACAACAATAACAACAAACAAAAAACAGCTCTAAAGTGCACTCTTGATTTGTTATATAGTTTGATAGTTTGCTAGCTCTAACAGAAAACGATTCCTCTAGCCTAATTCTTTTTAGTTTTCTGGAGCAGAAAAATAAATTAGGTAATGAGCATAGTGGTTAAAAACTCTTAACTCTGGGGGCTGGGAAGATGATCAGTGGTAGAGCGCTTGCCTTGTATGCACAAGGCCCTGGGTTTGATTCCTCAGCACCACAGAAGCAGAAAAAAGCAGGAAGTGGAATGCCATGGCTCAAGTAGTAGAGCACTAGCCTTGCCCAGGCCCCATGACGGACAGAAAAAACAGAAACAAAAACAAAACTCTAACTCTGAGCCAGGTGCTTAATTCTACCTACTCAAGAGGCTGAGATCTGAGGGCTGCAGTTTGAAGCCAACCCCAACAGGAAAGTCTGTTAAACTCTTTATCTACAATTACCCACCCCTGAAAAAAAAAAAAAAAAAAAAAGAAAGAAAGAAAAAGAAAAAAAGCTAGAATCACAGCTATGGCTCAAGTGGTAGAACGCTAGCACTGAGCAAAAAAGCTCAGGCCCTGAGTTCAAGCCCCAGACCGGAACAAAAACAAAAATACCCCTCTAACTCTGCATTCCAACATGTATATGGTGCTTACTCTGTGCCAGGTACCTTTCTGAGCACAAATGTCTCCTGTCATTGAAGCTTAATAACATCATTATGAGGTAGGTGAAATTATCACTATATGAGAAAACTGAGAAACAGAGACATTATACAGCTGTTAAATGGTGACCTTGAGTAATCTGCTTCTGCGTCTCCAAAAATGAAGCAACACAGATAACTGACTTTGCATGATTTTTATGAATAATAAATGAGATATTCCAAAGTTGTCTAGTGAGAACTCAAGGATGAGTTTATTACTTGAGCTACATCTCCATCCCAGCTTTTGGGGGTAGGAGGTTGGTTTGATTTTTGTGTGTCAATACTGGAGCTTCAACTCAGGGCCTCTCATTCTTTTTTTGGCTTTTTGTCATTGAGCGTAGGGCTTAAACTCAAGGCCTGGGCGCTGCTCTCCCTGAGCTCTTTTGCTCAAGGCTAGTGCTTTCCCCTAGTGCTACCACTTTCTACTTCTGGTTTTTGAGTGGTTAATTGGAGATAGGAGCCTCATGAGGACTTTTCTGCCTGGGCTGGCTTCGAATTGTGATCCTCTGATCTTAGCCTCCTGAGTAACTAGGGTTACAGGTGTGAGACATGAGCACCCTTTTTATTTTTGTTGTTGTTATTTTAAATATAGTTTTATTGTTATTATTAAGGGATTTTTTTTGTGTGGGGGGGTCCGATCGTGGGGTCTGAACTCTGGGCCTGGGCGCTGTCCCTCAGCTCTTCAGCTCAAGGCTAGCGCTCTACCACTTGAGCCACAGCGCCACTTCCGGCTTTTTTCATTTTTCTTATGTGGTGCTAAAGAATCGAACCCAGAGCCTCAGGCATGCAAGGCAAGCGCTCTACCACTGAGCCACCTTCCCAGCCCATTATTAAGGGATTGTATAGAGAGGTTAGCATTTCACAATTCAGGTAATGTGTCTATTTCTCTTTTAGACAATCGTACCCCTTCCTTCGATTTCCCTCCTTTCCGCCCTCATGTCCCTGCCCACAAGTTGAACAGTTGATTTTCTACATACTACATTTGTTCACTCTCCCTCCCGTTCTACAACCCCCCCCTAAAAAGCAGAAAAAGAAAATAAGTACATACAAACAATACCAACAACAACATAAACAACCCAAGTTTCCATTTCTTGGAATTTGTTTCGATAAAAAAGTATTTTATGGGCTGGGAAGTGGCTTGCCTTGCATGCATAAGGCTCTGGGTTTGATTCCTTAGCACCACATAAGCCGAAAAAGCCAGAAATGGCACTGTGGCTCAAGTGGTAGAGTGCTAGCCTTGAGCTGAAGAGCTGAGACACAGTGCCCAGGCCCAGAGTTCAGGCCCTATGACCAAAAAAAAAAGCATTTTATATGTTCAGGGGAGTTTTGCCTTTGGGTTCCTCACCTATAGGTACCCTCCTTTGGTCTGACTATATGTGTATGTATGTGTTGCTCAGATTTTTTGCTCTTGACTTTCAATCACCACTTAAGCCAGGCCTCTGCCTCCTAGCCTAGAATGTTTGCTGGTTAGCTACAGAAAAACATCTCATGGACTTTCCTGCCTGGGCTGACTTTGAACTACCATCCTCAGATCTCAGCTTCCTGAGTAGCTAGGATTACAGGTGTGAGGCACCTTAACACCCAAAACTATAAAAATTGTCCCCTCAAACCAGTTTTAGAAGGAAATTGTTTTAACGTCCTGTTAATCCATGGAGGTTTACATAGATCACAAAGGAGATGATCCTGTAGCAGGAAATCTGATTGAATTGCATTTAAAGTTTCAGTAATGCTGGCAGCCAATTAAGAGTCTGAGATGAAGCAAATGCAAATTCCAGGTCACTAGTGACATTCTTATTTTAGTGCCTTAGTGCCTTGGGAGGCCAAGATGCATATGGTAGCTAAGTCTTCCCTCCTCTTCTCTCTCAGATATTGAATTGTGAAAGCAATTACCTATCTTGGTTTGTGTTTCTTCATCTAACAGGCAGGCTATTCATGTGCCCATATATGTGACCACTGATAGGTTGAACAGGGCAGAGGTAAAGGGGAAGGCACAATAGCCTTGTGCTTAGAGCACAAATTACACTGCCTGGATTCAGATCCTACCCTGACCATTTTATTAGCTGAATGACACTGTTCACAAGCAAACTCAAGATACTAAATACGCCCAGAAATTCCAGGGCAAAAGAAACAATGTATACAAGGCCTTTCATATGACATCTCCTATGTGGTAAAGTTTCCTCATCATTATTAATTACCATAATAATGGAAACCATCTCACCGGTATGCAGTAGCATGTGTCGAATGAGCACCCTCTTGTGGGCAGTGGCAAAGTTGCACTCAGGACACTGGTGGATCTTCTCATGAGCATGCATCTTGCCTACGTGGTCCTGGTAGGCTACTGGGTTGAAGGTGGCAAAGGGGCAAAAGGTACACTGCAGCTCTTCACTGCCTGGATGGCCTTGTTTCTTATGTTTGCGGAATAAGTGCTTATTGGAGCAGGCGAAGTCACAGTGGGGGCAGTGGAAGGCATAGTGGCTCTTGTGGTGAGCCTCCATAGCTTCAGCTGTGGCAAAGAGCATTGGACATGAGTGGTGGCGGCACTCCACAGCCCGCACCCCGTGGGTCTCCTTCAAATGCTTTATAAAGGTCTTGCGGTCAGGGGCTGCAAAGCTACAGTCCTCCTGAAAGCAGCGGAGGGGTGATGGCTCTGCTGCAGCTGCTGCCGTATGGCTCTTGAGGTGCTCCTTGAGTGCCTGGCTGAGGCGGAATTCCTCCCGGCAGACGGGACAGGCGTAGGTGTCTGAGTAGAAGTTGGAGATATCCTCATGCATGCTGGCCATATGGCGGTTGAGAGCATTCCTCTCAACTGCACTGTAGTGGCACAGCGGGCAGCGGTGGGCCTTCTCACCCAGCTCCCGCAGCAGGTGGGTCTTGAGTTTGCTCTTGCTGGTGAAGAATTTCTGGCAGTTAGGACACTGAAGGCTGGGGTCTGGGAAGTGGAGGTGCAGGTGCTCTACTAGGTGGGTCCGCTTCTTAAAGCAGCGCTTGCACTCTGAGCACATGTGTGTCTTGAAGAGGGACTCAGTGCCAGAAGTGACATCCCCTGTAGGAAAGAGGGGTTGAGGGTGAGATTCTTCAACTGCTCAGGGGATGGCCAGAAAAGGAGAGTCACAATTTTTCCAGACACAAATATTGTGTGGCCTCCTCGCTAGGAAACCAAGCAATACATTTACAAACATAATCTCAAACAAGATGAGAAAATCAGGTATTCAGAAAAACTGAACTAAAAGGATTTCTTACAGCTTGCTATGGCCTGTTTCTAAGATTTGTCCCAGTCATCCACTATTCCTGAACCTAAAGCTGCTCAAAATAATCTGGATGAAGCATGCTTCCCTTGCTGTTCTTATTTGGCAGGAACAGGACTGATTAGAAAGAACTCTAAAAGGAGTAAATAAAAAAGAACAAAGAATAGTCTTTAACTTTTTAACACTTGTTGGGTGCCACAGATTCACACCTGTAATCCTAGCTACTCCAGAGGATCCAAAGGATAGACGTCTGAAGCCAAGTTGGGTTAAAAAAAAAAAAAAGTTTGCAAGACTCTATTTCCAAAATAACCAGAATAAAGCTTGTCTGAAGTCATGGCTGAAGTAATAGAGACAGCAGATAGCAAGCTTAGCAAGTGTGAGGTCTGAGCTGAAACTTTGGTACCAGCAAAACAAAAATAAAGATAAATAAAACAGCCCTGGGTTTGCTGGTTTCTAGACATCAGTAGTAAATGTGAGATCTTTCCTATTTGTCTCACAGTAAATACACTGCTGCGGGATGAGTTTCAGATATGCTAGTTGAGTTAGAAAACTAGGAAGCAAAGATTCAGAAAAAGTTATGCTAGTAAAACAGTGCTAATCACCAGTAACTTTTGATATTATTAATTTTTTTATTATATACAGTTACATGAGCAAGGTAATGAGCATATTTCTTATCAAGCATTGTTGCCTCTTCCTTTGTTTCCCCTTACCATCCCTGCCCTCCCATCTCCCTCCCCTCACCCCCCTGCCCCGATATTCTTATACTATGAATATCACTGTTCCTTCCATGAAAAAAGTTTTTCCTACCTGACTAAATCTGGCTCAGAAGAATAAGCTGTATCCCTACTTTGTGTTTCTAGAGTCTTGACCCATTTATCATTTCCACAAGACCTTGATTTCTGAGTCAAAGCAAGATAGATGTTCAGAAAGATGTGAATTAAGTATCAGAAAACCAACCCTAGAGTTCCAATGCCAGGCTTTCCACTACCTGGTCCTCCCCACAACCAAGAGCTTCACACTTTGCAACATTACCTTCCAACTGTGAAGCCTCTTGACCTTTATCCAAGGCTTTCTGGGAGTCCTGGGTGCCACTCTCTTCCTCTTCCTCTACATTCTCTTCCACAGCTGACTCCTGTCCAGGCAAACATGTGCCTGCTTCCTTTGAAGGTTCTCCTAGAGGCAGTTTGGGAGCTGAAAGCACAAAAAATGTGATGCTCAGAGGGGCAACTGACAGCATTGAAACTTGTATTACTACTGGCTAGCACAATCCTCCTCCTCCTCTTTTAGCAGAAAGGAATCTTGAGTGCTAAATAAGTATACAGTTGTCCTTTGCTGTATCATGGTTCTTACTGCAGCTTTATATTTCGGGTTTTTAAAAATATATATCTAGGGCTGGGAAGGTGGCTCAGTGGTAGAGCACTTGCCTTGCATGCCTGAGGCCCTGGGTTCAATTTCTCAGTACCACATAAGCAAAAAGAAAAAAGCCGGAAGTGGCGCTGTGGCTCAAGTGGTAGAGCGTTAGCCTTGAGCTGAAGAGCTGAGGGACTGCGCCCAGGCCAAGAGTTCAGGCCCCACGACCGGACCCCCCTCCACCCCCCCCAAAAAAAAATCTAATTCTGCATTATGGAGCTTTTGCTATATTGTGGGATTTTGCCATATATATTTGCATATATATATAGGTATTTACATAATATTTATGATTTGAGGGGCTGGGAAGGTGGCTCAGTAGTAGAGTGCTTGCGTTGCACGCATGAGGCCCTGGGTTCAATTCCTTAGCACCACATAAACATAAAAAAGCCGGAAGTGGCGCTGTGGCTCAAGTGGTAGAGCACTAGCCTTGAGCTGAACAGCTGAGAGACTGAGCCCAGGCCAAGAGTTCAGGCCCCACCACCGACCAAAAAAAAAATTATGATTTTAATTATTTTAAAATATTTAAAACAATATAAAAATATTATTTAAGTTTAAAAAGAGAGTAGGAAAGGTTTATAGGAAAGTGGAGTTTATAAACCTTAAAATGTAGAAATAATAAAAATATAATGCTGCTACTTTGCAGATTTTCACCTATTGCAGGGGTCTCTGGAACATAACTCCCATGATAGGTGAGGGATTTCTGTATTCCCACTCAAGACAAGGGAATCAAGACCAGAAACTATTCTCAATTCAGTTTTAAGTAAGCATAAAGCCTCAAAGCCCTGGAAGGTCAGAGCTCTGAGGACATTTGGATTTGGACTGAGAGGCAGAGGATAGACTGCACTTCTTGGCTCAGGTCTCCAGGGTTAATGGCTAGATGGCTCAGGGTAGGTAAACATCTCTCCTGATCACTCAAGTGTTCTAATGAGAAACCCAACGTGGCCATTCAAACCCTATCTCCTATCTCCCATCAGAGAGTTGCTTCAGAAAGGTAAACAGGTATATGTCTTTCCCAGGAAAATGATTTTCTATTCAGACATTAGGGCACAAGTGGGTCTCCAAGGCAAGTTCTTATCACATTCTTGTCCTCTTCTGGCTGGTTTTCTCTATTTTCTAGTTTGAACTCACAGTCTCATTCATACTTGCCAGGCAAGCACTTGATTACCTGAACCAGTTTTTCTCCTCTCTACCCTTCCAACTCCTCCTTCTCCTCCTTTCTCCCTCCCTCCCTCCCCCTCTCACCTTCTGTTCTTGCCAATGCTGGCCTCAGATTGTGATCCTCCTACTTATACCTCCAGAAGGGATCATAAGCACTCAACCCAATTTGGTTGTTTTTTTTTTTTTTTTGCGGGGTGGGGGGGTCCGGTCGTGGGGCCTGAACTCTGGGCCTGGGCGCTGTCCCTCAGCTCTTCAGCTCAAGGCTTGAGCCACAGCACCACTTCCGGCTTTTTTCTTTTTGCTTATGTGGTGCTGAGGAATCAAACTCAGGGCCTCAGGCATGCAAGGCAAGCACTCTACCACTGAGCCACCTTCCCAGCCCCAACCCAATTTGTTAATTGATATCAGTTAATAAGTGTTGTGCCCCCGTGACTCCCCCCCTCCCCCGCTCTGCCCCAATCACCAGAACTGGCCTTGTACTACAATCTTCCAACTTCTGCCTTCTGAGTAGCTAGGATTACAGGTGTGAATAAAAGAATCCTGTAAGGATTCTTTCAAAAATAACCCCTGTCACTTCTCCTAAAGGAAGTCTACAAACATACTATTGATCTGAAATGGGTCAGTAGAAAATATTGCTTAATGCTTGTGGCTCACACCTGTAATCCTAGCTACTCAGGAGGCTGAGATCTAAGGATCACGGTTCAAAGCCAATCAATCCAGGCAGGAAAGTCCTTGACACTCTTATCTTCAATTAAACACCAGAAAACTGGAAATGGCTCAAGTGGTTGGTAGAGCGCTAGCCTTGAGCTGAAGAGCTCAGGGACAGCGCCCAGGCCTAGAGTTCAAGACCCACAACTGACAAAAAAAAAAAAAAGAAAGAAAAAGAAAATATTGCTTAAGTAATTTCAGGTTACATGTAGCCTAAGCCAAATTTCACCCAGTGTCATGGACAAATATTTCTCCTTTTGCCATCTATTGACTGGTTCAAGGCTTCTAGATGCTTTCCCTTATTCAGTAATTCCATCTTCCCAAGCCACCATCCAGATTCCCTTATACTTTCTTTGGCTGGTCCTAGGGATTGAACTCAGGGCCTGGGCTCTGTCCTGGGCCTCTCTGTGCCACTTCCAGCCTTTTCTGTTTATGTGGTACTGATGAATTGAACCAAGGGCTTTATGCATGTTAGGCAAGCTCTCTACCACTAAGCCACAATCCTAGCCCCAATTCCCTTATACTTCTATAGGAAATGTCCTTCCTGTAGAAGACATTGCAGCTACATTTCAGGCAGGGGATTTCTAGGCCTCTGGCCTCATACCTGGCAGCAGCTCCCGGGATGGAAGTGCCTGAAGAGCAGAAAGTTCCCCCTGTGTTTTGGTCCCATGGCTCCGCTGATGCTGCCGGAAGAGTTTGACGTTGGAGCCCATGAAGTTGCAATGGCTGCAGTGGAAAGGGTAATGGGCCTGCCGGTGAAGCTCCATTCCCTGCTGGCTCCCAAAAAGCAGGGGGCAGCCCCGGAAAGAACAGGGCACTGGAACTGCTTTGTGGGTCTGCCTCAAGTGGTGTTGCAGACCCTGACGATCTTCAGCAGAGAACACACAGTCAGACTCTGGGCAAGAGAAAGTGCTGGGAGTGGCCCGATGAATCTTGAAGTGGCTCTTCAAGGCCTGGGGTTGGGCAAATTCTTGCCTACACACAGGACATGGCAGGGGGCTATCTGACACGCTGAGGCCATGCAGAGGGCCATGGAGAGTGAGGTTGTTGGGGGGCAGTTCTACAGAGCGTGGGGGGCTAGGAAGGTCTTGCACAGGTTGTGTATGGGTCTCCGTGCACTGGTGCAGGGACAGCAGAGTGGGCTCTGCAAAACTCTGTTCACAGCGCTCACAGAAGTACACCTCCACCACTTTTACCAGGACACCTGTGGGCAGAGGACAGACAGAGAAAAGCATAGAATCAGGTGGAATGAGACATGCAGGAGTTAACTACCAGTAGGAATGTAGATGAATCTTTTCATAGTCATGGAGTACAGATGGACCTGAAGTCTGGCTCTGTACCTTAACTGTTAGCCAGGTCAGACCGTCTTGTCTGGCATATGTGTTTAGGTTCCTAGTGTCTAGTACAATTCTTTTTGGTGGTGGTGGTGGTGGTGGTCGTGGGCCTGGGCACTGTCCCTCAGCAATTCAGCTCAAGGCTAGTGCTCTACCACTTGAACCACAGCACCACTTGTGGCTTTTTTTTTTGTTGGTCATGGGGCTTGAACTCTGGGCCTGAGCACTGTCCCTCAGCTCTTCAGCTCAAGGCGAGTGCTCTACCACTGAGCCACAGCGCCACTTCCGGTCTTCTGGTGGTTTATTGGAGGTAAGTGTTTCATGGACTTTCCTGCCCCGGCTGGCTTTGAACTGCGATCCTCAGATCTCAGCCTCCTGAGGAGCTAGGATTACAGGTGTGAGCCACTGGCACCTGGCTTACTTGTAGGTTTTTTTTTGCTTATGTGGTGCTGAGGAATCAAACCCAGGGCCTCATGCATGCAAGGCAAGCACTCTACCACTGAGCCACCTTCCCAGCCCCTCTAGTACAATTCTTGATGCAAGATGGGTTTTAATAACTATGGTAAATGAATGAACATATAAAAATCAAATTCAGAAAGCATTAAGACATATATTGCCTAAATAAAAATTAGAAACTTCTAAGGAACAATAAATTAGGAAGACTCTCTGTAATATACATGAACATGAATCACTTTCAAATTCTGTAAAGAATGTGTCAAAGGCACAGGAATTCAAAACATGGAGAACAACCCTTTTCAGAAGAGTATAATTATCTCTGTAATACCATTTTGTTTTTTTATGTTTAATGCATGGCAGGGGCTGCTTTGGTACTTCTTCCCTGACCAGTGTGTCCACTGGGCAGGCTTATCTCATTTTCCCAGTGAGGGCTCCTGTTCCATCTTTTCTTTCCTGATTCATCTGTGTTGCTAATCTTTTAGATGTACCCACAGCTCTTCCCCCCCACCACACACACATTTTTTATTAGCACATATTAATTGTACAATTTGGGGTTTCATTGTGATATTTGCATATTTACCTACTTTATTACTCTCCCACCTTTGTTTTTTTTTTTGTCAGTCTGGGCCTGGGTGCTGTCCCTCAGCTCTTCAGCTCAAGCCAGTGCTCTACCACTTGAGCCACACTTCCAGTTTTCTGGTGGTTTATTGGAGCTAACAATGTCACTAACTTTCTTGCCTGGGCTGGCTTTGAAGCATGATCCTCAGATCTCAGCCTCCTGAGTAGCTAGGATTATAGTGTGAGCCACCAGCACCCAGCTAAAATTCTTTTTAAATAGATTCATTATGAACTTTCCACACATGCATACTATGTTTTCAATCATATTCTCCCAGCTTGCCTTTTGTTTTTTTGGTTTAGTCCTGGAGTTTGAATTTAGGGTCTGGGTTCTCTTCCTGAGCTTCTTTTGCTCAAGGGTAGCACTCTATCACTTTAACCACAGATCTACTTCCAGCTTTTTGGTAATTTATTAGGCTAAGAGTCTCATGGCCTTTCCTGCCCAGGCTGGTTTCAAACTGCAATCTTCAGATCTGAGCCTCATGAGTAGCTAGGATTATAGGCAGAAGCCACTAGCACCTGACATACCAGCTTGCCTTAAAAAAAAAAAAATTGCTGCCAGGCACTAGTGGCTCACACTTGTAATCCTAGCTACTCAGGAGGCTGAGATCTGAGGATCACAGTTCAAAGCCAGCCTGAGCAGGAAAGTCTAAGACTTTTATCTCCAATGAACCACCAGAAAACCGGAAGTGGTGCTATGGCTCAAGTAGTAGAGTGCTCCCCTTTAAGCTGAAAAGCTCGGGGACAGCATCCAGGCCCAGAGTTCAAGCCCCACGACCAAAAAAAAAAAAAAATTTGCTACCAATTATTTTCAAGCAAAGGACAGACCATGTTAATGTTCTATTTTGGTGTTCCAACTGCCCTATGAGGACGACCAGGGACTCTCTATAAGGCTACCAGGCTTGCTGCTAGTAAAGCCATGATTGAAGCCCAGGCTAGTCCTATATTTATTCATCTGGTCCATTTTTTAAATTGTAATTGTAATTTTTTGTTTTTTCCCAGAACAGAGGACCAACTCAGGGTCTTGCACTTGTCAAGCAATGTTCTTCCAATGAACTAAATCCCCAACCCCTTATTGTTATTTTTTGTTTAAAGAAAAACTCAGCTGTGGGGCTGGGAAGTTGGCTCAGTGGTAGAGTGCTTGCCTTGCATGCATGAGGCCCTGGGTTCCATTCCTCAGCACCACATAAGCAGAAAAAGCCAGAAGTCGTGCTGTGCCTTAAGTGGTAGAATGCTAGCCTTGAGCTGAAGAGCTGAGGGACAGTGCCCAGGCCCAAAGTTAGGCCCCACTACCAAACCCCCCCAAAAAAAAAAGAAAGAAAGGAAAAAAGAAAAACTCAGCTGGGTGCTGGTGGCTTATACCTACATTTTTATTTTTTGGGGGGGAGGGTCCGGTCGTGGGGCCTGAACTTTGGGCCTGGGCGCTGTCCCTCAGCTCTTCAGCTCAAGGCTAGCACTCTGGCTTTTTTATTTTTGCTTATGTGGTGCCGAGGAATTGAACCCAGGGCCTCATGCATGCAAGGCAAGCGCTCTACCACTGAGCCACCTTCCCAGCCCATGGCTCACACCTATAATCCTAGCTACTCAGGAGGCAGAGGATCATGGTTCAAAGCCAGCTCAGGCAGGAAAGTCTGAGACTCATCTCCAACTAACCACCAGAAAACCAGAAGTGGCACTGTGGCTCAAAGTGGTAGAATACTAGCCTTAAGCAAAGGAGCTCACAGACAGTGCCCAGGCCCTGAGTTCAAGCCCCATGACTGACCAAGGAAAAAAAAAAAAAAAAAGCTCAGTCAAGTGCAGGTGTCCCACATTTGTAATCCTAGCTACTCAGGAGGCCGAGATCTATGATCAGGGTTCAAAGCCAGCTGGGTGGGAAAGTCCATGATATTCTTGTCTCCAATTAACCTCAAAAAGCCAGAAGTAAAGCAGTGGCTCAAGTGATACAGTATTAGCCTTGGCACAAAAGCTTAGGGACAGTGCCAAGGTCCTGAGTTTAAGCCCTCGGTCCAGCACACACACTCTCCCTTTCTCTCCCCCTCACCTCCCACCCTGCCCCCCATGCATACACACCAAGTTCAACTAGCAGGATATGGAGGTGTACCTGGGGGGAGATAAGTAAGACTGAATACTATTTAAATAGATTATTTGCAACAATTAAAATAGAAGAAGGAAACCTGTTTGGGACATTATTTCTTTTCTCTCTTTTTTTTTTGGGCGGGGGGAAGCAGTGCTGGGGCTTGAACTTAGGTCTTGGGAGCTGTCCCTTAGTACGCTACCACTTGAGCCACACTTCCACTTCCAGCTTTTGGTGGTTAAGTAGAGACAAATCTCATAGCCCCCCTGGGCTCGCTTTGCACCTCTATCCTTAGAGCTTCGCCTCCTAAGTAACTAGGATTACAGGCATAAGACACCAGCACCTGGCTAAGGGATGCTATTTCTTAGAGAGAAGGGTGCAAGTAACAGAATAGGGAAAATTGATTGGACTACAGTATAAACTTTTGTGAAGATGTAACCATGAAACACCCTTGTATAACTGATATAAACCAATAAAAACACACAGAACAAAACTGTTAATAATAAATAATAAATTAATGAATAACAAAAAATAGAGCTAGTTCAACATGGCAACTTAAATGATACCGAAGTTTACAAAGAATAACCATCACACACATGAAACGGACGTATCCTTTCAATCATTTGACTTGTCTCCTCTTCTCCCCACCCCTCACCCCAATTTTCACTTGTTAAAAACAGAAGTTCTTTTTTTGTTGTTGTTTTGTTTTTCTTCTGAGTTAGGATCTTTCCATGTGGTCCAGGCTGGCTAAAGTGGCCTCCAACTCTCAATTCTCCTGCCTGTCAGCCTCCCAAATGTTATGTCTACAAATCATGCCTAGCTATCAAAGATTTAAAAAAAAAAAATCTAGGCTGGGAATGTGGCTTAGTGGTAGCGTGCTTGCCTAGCATGTATGAAGCCCTGGATTTGATTCCTCAGTATCACATACACAGTAAAAGCCGGAAGTGGTGCTGTATGTAGCTCAAGTGGTAGAGTGCTAGCCTTGAGCAAAAAAAGCTTGGGGACAGTGTCCACCCAGGCCTGAAGTTCAAGCTCCAGGACTGGCAAAATAAAAAAGGACTAAGGTCATGGAGCACCATATGACTTTTATGTTTAAACCCCAGCATCACACACACACACACACACACACACACACACACACACACACACACACACACACACACACACACAAATCTATAAATACATTTCACTTTCTGTTGTTGTTGACATCATGGTATTTCAGAACACTGATAAAGTAAAATGAAATTCTGCTCTGATGGACAGCCAAGATGCTTCCAGCCATTATAAATGAAGCTGGCTTTACATATCTCCATCCCTGTGTGTCTTTTTGCTGTTGTTGTTGTTGGTTGTGGGGCGTGAACTCTGGGCCTGGGCGCTGTCCCTCAGCTCTTCAGCTCAAGGCTAGCGCTCTACCACTTGAGCCACAGCGCCACTTCTGGCTTTTTTTCTTTTTGCTTATGTGGTGCTGGGGAATCGAACCCAGGGCCTCATGCATACAAGGCAAGTGCTCTACTACTGAGCCACCTTCCCAGCCCCATCCCTGTGTGTCTTTTATAAAAGTTTCCCAGAATGGAATTCCCTGGTCACAGTATATATATTGTAAAATTTGTTATGTTGCTCACATATTTGTTATGTAACTGGCTTTCAAAAGTTCACATTAGGGCTGGGAAGGTGGCTCAGTAGAAGAGCGCTTGCCTTGAATGCATGAGGCCCTAGGTTCAATTCCTCAGCACCACATAAGCAGAAAAAGCCAGAAGTGGCGTTGTGGCTCAAGTGGTAGAGCACTAGCCTTGAGCTGAAGAGCTCAGGGATAGCTCCCAGGCCCAGAGTTCAGGCCTCATGACTGACCAAAAAAAGGTTCACATTAGCCCAGTGCCAGTGGCTCACGCCTATAATCTTAGCTACGCAGGAGGCTGAGATCTGAGGACTGCAGTTCAAAGCCAGCCCGGGCAGAAAAGGCTGTGAAAAACTGGAAGTAGTGCTGTGGCTCAAGAGGTAGAGTGCTAGCCTTGAGCATAAGAGCTTAGGGATAGTGCGCAGGCCTAGAGTTCAAGCTCTATGACCGACAAAAAAAAGAAAAAAAAAAGTTCACTAGGTGATGGTGGCTCAGGCCTGTAATCCTAGCTACTCAGGAGGCTGAGATCTGAGGACTACAGTTCAAAGCCAGCCCAGGCAGGAAAGTCCATGAGACTCTTCTCCAATAAACCATCAGAAAACTGGAAGTGGTGCTGTGGTTCAAGTGGTAGAGCACTAACCTTGAGCTAAAGAGCTGAGGGACAGCGCCCAGGCCCTGAGTTGAGGCCCCATGACCGGACCCCCCCCCAAAAAAAAATTCTCTTATGGTGTAACTCTTTGCAATTTAAAGATATTAATTCACTGTTACATATTAAAAATGTTTTTCCCAAGCTGTTTGTTTTGTTTGAGATAAGGTCTAGCTATACATAGCCCAGGCTGGCTTAAGCTTGATATGTATCCCACTGAGACTCTTTTTTCTTTTACCACATATTAGAAATATTATATAGTTGAACTAGCTAATCTCTCCAAGTATTCTTTGCTACTATACTACATAGCAATGGGAAGTGAAACCACTGTAGCTGGACAGTAGCAGTTAAAAAACAGAGACATATTAAGTACTGAAGGCTCATAGCTGTAATCCTACCTACACAGGAGGCTGAGATCTGAGAATTGTGGCTCAAAACCAGTCCAGGCAGGAAAGTCCATGAGACTTCTTACCACTACCACCACAACAAAAAAGCTGGAAGTGGAGGTTGTGGCTCAAGTGGTACAGCACTAGCCTTGAGCAAAAAAGCTCAGAGATAGGGGCCCAGGCCTGAGTTCAAGCCCCAGGACCAGCACTAAAAATTTGTTTGTTTTTTTGGGTCCGGTTGTAGGGCCTGAACTCTAGGCCTGGGTGCTGTCCCTCAGCTCTTCAGTTCAAGGCTAGCGCTCTACAACTTGAGCCACAGCACCACTTCCAGCTTTTTTTCTTTTTATGTGGTGCTGAGGAATCGAACCCAGGGCCTCATGCATGCAAGGCAAGCGCTCTACCACTGAGCCACCTTCCCAGCTCAGCACTAAAATTTTTTTAAAAAGAAAGAAAAAACAAAACAAAAGCAAGTTACTTGAGAGTGTGGGTAGGGGTGGGGATGGGGGAGAACACTGAAGAGGTGACACTGACCAAGATACATTACAAACTAATTTGCTGAATTAAAACCCCTTTGTACAAGTACTTAAAGTTGGGACAAATAAAAAGGAGAATCTTTCTGCTAGGGTAAATACAAATGCTCAACTCTACCTCCTAACCACATGCCTTGGATGAGTGAAGTATGTGATACACAGGAAATTAGGGTGAGGAAATACCAGTTACCTCTGGAAAGCCCTGCCAAGACCAGGGTGGTGGAGCAGGCTTGGCCTTTTGCCTAATCCCTGGCTACAGTTCCTGTGTAGTAGGGTCAGTATAGGGGGAGAAGAATCCAAGGACTGTAAGAGTAAGGACAGCCAGAATTGGATTAAGGTGTCAGGAAAGAATTCCTTCTGGATTATTGCCTAGCAGATATGAAGCCTTCATAGGGATAGACTTTGCTACAAGGTTGTATACTACCTTGCCAGCCTTCCATCAACATACACCAACTGCAAACCAAATGACAACATCTCCAAGTATAAAAATAGCATGCTACCTTGTGTTATCATTTTCAGAGAGAAGTACCAAAAATAGTACAGACAAAACCTTTCAGGCTTGCTTGTCCCACTGGCTTGCTAGCAACTAGGCTTGTACCTGGGGTTTCTCCAGGAGCTCCTGGGGACAGGGTTCCAGCTACTGTTTCCACAATGATCTCCATGTTCCCTGGCCCCTCTTCAGTAGCTGTGGCTTCTACCAGTAGGCAGCCTGAGTCAGCAGGCAACGGTGTAGGGTCCCCAGAAGCACAGGTACTTGGGACAGGCCCCAGGATTCCATGGTTAGAGAGAGATGGGGGAATCAGCAATAGCTCAGAACACAGTCCATCCATCTCCCCAGTGCTTCTGGCTTGCTGGGAGTCCAATACAGAGTCTGTCATCACCATTGACTTGTGTACTCTGGCTTCTTAACTGCTAACAAGCCAAGCAAAGGAAAAACAAAAAGAATGGTTAGAGCTTTTACTTTCTTCCAGGTTGGTATAGAACACAGTCCAATGCCTACCCATTTCGATAATTCTTTAACAGCAGCATGCCACACATTATTATCGTAAATAGAGGTTTTCTTTTCATGATAATGTTCAGAACAAATGATGATGGGGTCAATATTAAGAGACAGCCAACAAGTTTTGGCCAATATACCGAAGACTATACATTATGTTTCTTTTCTTTTCTTTCTTGTGCTGGTCCCGGGCTTGAACTAAGGGCCTGTGCACTATCCTTGGGATTTTTGCTCAAGACTAGAGCTCTACCACTTGAGCCACAGCTCCACATCTGGCTTTTTGGTGGTTAAATGGAGATAAGAGTCCCATAGACTTACTTGCATGGATTGGCTTCAAACCTGTATCATCATACTTCAGCTTCCTGAGTAGCTAGTATTACAAGATGAGCCACTAGTGCCTGGAAGATTGTATTTCTTGCTAGCTAAATGACCTTGGTCAAATTATGAAGCAGTTTGAGCCTCAGTTTTCTTATCTGCAACAAAATTGGGTAACACCCAAGAATTTCAAAAGTCATTTACCTTTTACTACTTGATCTTATTATTCCTCAATGTCCATCTTGGCCCTTCTTTCATCATCTGGCCCCTGCTGACTCTCCAGACATGCTTCCTACTGCTAATCCTACCTCTAAAGAGAGCTCTCAGCCAGATGTCTGCTATTCTTCAGACTTTTTTGCACCATCTCATCTTTTTGCTCTCACAGCTAGCTTGATGTGTCTTTTCTCCTTCTCAATCTCTTGTCTGACTAACCAACTCCTTAGAATTCTATAAAAAGCCGCATAGGTCTGGAGGTGTGACTCAAGTTGTGGAGCACTTGCCTAGCAAGCACAAAGCTGTGAATTCAAACCCTAGTGGGGAGGGATGGGGAGGAAGGAGGGAAGCTGCAAAAATATCATTTCCACTATGAAAGTTCCTTTCTTTTTTTTTTTTTTCCCCAGGGCTGAGGACCGAACCCAGGGCCTTGTGCGTGCAGGGCGGGCGCCCTTCCGCTGGGCTAAACCCCCAACCCCTATGAAAGTTTCTTGAATTCTTAACTTTCTCTCTTTTGGAGTCCTGATGGCTCTTTTATCCATACCTCTAGCAAAAACTGTACTAGATGATGCTCCATTGTTAAATGATCACTCTTACTTCCTATGAAGTTTTTTGGGTTCAACAGTATTATCAATTCAATAAACAAAACTTCCAATAAACTATGCAAGACAAAGAAAAATAAAATTGCTAGCTTAGAACTGTGGACAGAACAGCATCAGAGTAAGGCTAGGTATCTTGTACCAAGGTATCAAACCAGTAGTTTCTCCCATGAAGTAACACATCTGGAGAGATTTCAAACACATTTAACTTACTGTATATACAGCCTCAAACTGGAGCATAATTGAGAAACGAATGAATGACAAAATGTGTGTCCTCTTATACATGGCTGAAGTGAGCTTAAGTAGAATCATTTTTGAAAGAATATTAATGACACTACTCGTGAAATCGAGTCACATATTTGAGTAAGAGCCAGGCGGCAGGTGAAAACTGCCATTCCTTGTTCTCCAGAATCCCTCCGCTCAAAAAACGGTGATCACTGGGACTTAGAAGGTGGCAGGAAAGTGCAATTCCACGATTAGAGGGATTCTTTGGAAACCCCAGCCTCCACTTACAGCATTGTACAGTTGCTCTGCGGATTTAGCTCAGTTCCCGGCACACGACCCGAGGCGTCGGCTAGATTGAGAACCTCCGCTGTCTGGAAAAAAGAGGAGACAGGTTGGCCCTGGAGAAGAAATGAGCTTACCTTGGGAACACGGGACCGAGTAAGAGAAAGGGCGAATTAAAGGGAGATGGAAGGCTTGGGGAGACAACGAGCCCCGGCCTGGGCACCGAGGTTTCCACGGGTCTCTGGGCTCTTGACTCACCTCCTGGCCTTTGACAGATGCCGTCGCCTCGCTTCTCCGGGCCTCGGCTTTCCTAATCTGTAAAGTGGAAGCGGCGACCAGGTCCACATGGTCCGGCGGGCGCCGGATCGCAGTCGTCAGACAACAGGAAGGGCGTTCAGTAACCTGCAGAGCTGGAGACGGTGCATCGTCACGCCTGGTCCTGAGAGGCAGCGGGGACCCGGGCGGGGTCCACGGCGGTGACGCGGGGCTGGCGCTGGGACGCGCCGGGCCTCGCTCGGCAGCGTGCTCCCGTCAGGCGCCTCCTCCCACCGGCTTCCGCCGCCCGGGCCCTCTCATCCTAAGGCTCCAGAAAGTTTTGCCTCCAGCTCGCTCCACCCGCACTCTCCTAATCCCCGCCCCGCCGACGCTCACTCACCTCCCCGACCCGGGGCCAGAGGGAGCCGCATCTCTATGGTTCACAGCGGGTAGAAGGTCCTCCTTTTGTGCGACCGCCGCCCCCGCCCCCCCCCGCATGTAGAGGCTGCTCTTCCTCTTGGCGGAACGTGGGTACTCTATGGTTTTTAGGTTTGTGTTTGTTTTTCCTTCTGTATTTCTGAAGCCCAAGAAAGACTAGTGAGTTCGGCGGGGCAGAGCGGCCTGGGCTCCTCGGTGGGCGTGGCGGGAAGTAGACGAAAGTGCTCAGGGGCGGGGCCGAACAGTATTCCCACCCCACCCCACCCTACGTAGGGGTGAAACCATCGAGACGGAGGGCCAGAGAGACATGGCGGTAAGGGGGCGGAGTGACCGAGTACTCCAAACCCAGTTCTTGGAGTCACGAGCTGGGGTGTGGAAGGGGTATGGCAGAGCGTTTTGGGGTGTCGGGCAAGGTTAGGGGACCGGAATAGCTTTTTGGCTTTTCATGCATTGGTGATTTTGGAATTCTGCATGCCCAGCCGAAGTCACTGCTGTCACTTCATCCGCCCCGCGTGCCCGTCACAGGGCGGAATGGCGGGCATGGGGTGCAGGAGAAGGGTACTAGGAACCATTTGGCCCCTTTCCCTCAGGATCGTTTTCTTGTGCAAATTGTCCTTATCACAACTTACTGGGTTGTGGAGGAAGTAGCCATTAGGGGCAGGAGTTCAGTTGGGGAGAATGCAGGAAATAATCAGGTGGGAGATGTTTTGCATATTTGCTGAATGCCGGGTATTAGGAGCCTAGCCAGGAAAGGTAGATGCCCTGTTGTGTTTTTTTTGTTGTTGTTTGTTTGTTTGTTTGGGGGACGGTAGGCTTTGGATAGCAGGCTGAGGAATTTACCTAATTCAAGGATCTGTGGGGATCAAGCCACTGAAGATGCTGTAGAGTGATAGAATTGGAGATAATCCTTAGGGAGAAAGCTCGGGAACCATGTGTAATTGATTCAAGAGCTGGAGACTCTTTCAGATGGCATTTCAAGAAGTGTAATGTTTTTTAAAAGAAACAATTTAAGTGGGACACAGTAATAAAGTTTTAAACAGAACATTAAGAATTAGGCCTAAGGAAGAAGATACTTGAAGGACATTAATCATGGTAAGGCATGTAGTCAATGAAAGATCATCGGAAAAGCCACTCCTCCTGACTAGCCAATGAGCCCCTTTCTATCTTCACTGTTTAAAATTCTGCCCATTTGTTATCCTACTATGAAGCTGGTTATTTTTTTCTCATGCATTTAAGGAATCTCCAAATATTGGCATAAATTTTGCTACTGATCAGCAAAATAGGATGAAGGTCCTGGAGGGTCCACCTTAGTGTTTCAACACTACCTGAACTCTACAAAAGGAGGATATTGAAGCACATAGTACTGTTGAGCTGCCCTTTCTGCTTCTGCAAGAATGTGGGAATGTAGAGTACAGTTTGGTTTCAAAACTAATTTGATTTGTCTCTTCTCCCTCTCCCACTCCTAGGTTTTGATAATGCCTCCAAACCTGTAACCCTCTGGATTTCCTTTTCTTTTCTTTTTCTTTTTTGCCAGCCCTGGGGCTTGAACTCAAGGCATCAGTGCTGTCCCTGAGCATTTGTGTTCAAGGCTAATGCTCTACCACAACTCTTGGTAGTTTATTGGAGATAACAGTCTCAGGGATCTTCTTGCCTGGGCTGGCTTTGGACAGTGATCCCCAAATCTGAGCCTCCTGAGTTGCTAGGATAATAGGTCTGAGCCACTGGTACCTGGCTGGTTTTCCTTGTCAATATGCCACTTGCAGACTTTGTTTTGGCCCTAAAGGACAATCCGTACTTTGGGGCTGGATTTGGGCTGGTGGGTGTGGGCACAGCCCTGGCCCTAGCCCGGAAGGGAGCCCAAATGGGCCTGGTGGCATTTCGGCGCCACTACATGATAACACTGGAAGTACCTGCTCGAGACAGAAGCTATTCCTGGTTGCTTAGTTGGCTCACACATTACAGTACTCGAACTCAGCACTTAAGTGTTGAAACTTCATATCTTCAACATGAGAGTGGCCGTATCTCCACCAAGTTTGAATTTATCCCCAGCCCTGGAAACCACTTCATATGGTAAGATTGGGAGCCAGAGAATGGCTCTGAGAATGTAAAGGCAAATGAAGAAAACTGTATTTGGCCAGGTTCGTGCACTCATCTTGACCATTTTTATTCAGGTATCAGGGGAAATGGATCCGGGTAGAAAGAAGTCGAGACATGCAGATGATAGATTTACAGACAGGAACTCCTTGGGAATCTGTCACCTTCACAGCCCTGGGCACTGACCGGAAGGTTTTCTTCAACATCCTGGAAGAAGGTATGGAATGGCACAGGCAGGCTTTGTATGGGGGTTGCAGAGATGGGAACATTGGACACCAGAGAAGAGCAGCTTGGAGACGAGGAACAAGATCTGAACCTAGGGTGCTGGGAGTCCTTTTGGGCATAGCTTTACCTAATCAAAGAAGCATCTGTGGAGGAGAAAGTTATTGATTTTGTCTCATCTTTCCCCTCCCAGCTCGAGAACTAGCTCTACAACAGGAAGAAGGAAAAACAGTGATGTACACAGCTGTGGGCTCTGAATGGCGTGCTTTTGGCTATCCACGCCGGCGGCGACCACTGAGTTCTGTAATTCTACATCAGGGTCTGACTGAAAGGATTGTCAAAGACATCCGAGAATTCATTGATAATCCCAAGTGGTACACTGATAGAGGTGAGAAGCAGCTGGACTTTGAGCTAGACTGCTTATGTTTAACAGGAGAGTAGGAAGTAGGCTGGCTTTAGTCAGAGCATTATATATATATTATATATATATAACATATATATATATATATAAATATTATATATGTGTATTTCTGTCTCAATTCCCAGTGATAAAAGAGAAAGGTTACCTGTGGGGTGATTTTTTTTTCCTATCAAGGCCACCAAAATAAGAGGAAGCAGGCCTGAAAATCAATGTGGATACCTATGCAAAGGATATGATTCATTTTTGATTGCATTTATTGTGGCTGTATCCTAGGCATTCCCTACAGACGTGGCTACCTGCTTTATGGGCCCCCTGGTTGTGGAAAGAGCAGTTTTATGTGAGTAATTAAAAAAATTTATTTGGTTGGTAATAGGGTTTGAACTCAGAGCATCAAGCTTGCTAGGCTGATACTACCATTTAAAACATGTTCTAGCCCTGCTTTTGGCTGGTTAGAGATGGAGTCTAATTAACTTTCCATCTGAGATGGCACTGACCTACCATTTTCATATTCTAGCCTCCTAAGTACCTAGGATTACACATGTGAGCAACTGGCTTGAAATCCCTTTTTTTGGGTCGGTTGTGGGGCTTGAACTCTGGGCCTGGGCACTGTCCCTGAGCTCTTCAGCTTAAAGCTAACACTCTACCACTTGAGCCACAATGCCACTTCTGCCCTTTTCTGTTTATGTGGTGCTGATGAATCAACCTCAGGGCCTCATGCATATGAAGCAAGCACTCTACCACTGAGCCACTTTCCTGGCCCCTTAAAAATCTCTTAACTGGGCAAAACCTAGCCTTTGTAGAAAAACTGGCCTGGGGCTAGTGAAGGAAATGAATCCAAGACCAGGATGTTCCTCAAGAGATGTGTGGAACATTAGGTCGGGGTAGGAGAGGAGTTAGGCTCTGTGACACACCTTTCAAGACAGAAGATAGAGCAGTTGGGTCCAAGGAGGAATCCTAGGTTGCCTATGAACTTCTGCCATGCCATTATCCACAGCACAGCCCTGGCCGGGGAACTGGAACACAGCATCTGCTTGCTGAGCCTCACAGATTCCAGCCTCTCTGATGATCGGCTCAACCACTTACTAAGTGTAGCCCCACAGCAGAGCCTGGTGCTTCTGGAGGATGTGGATGCTGCCTTTCTCAGTCGAGACTTAGCTGTGGAGAGTAAGTTAAAGTGTGGGGAAAGGGGAGTGATTCTCGTTTTTAACTTGAATTTTTATGGCACTACTAGGGTTTGAACTCAAGGCTCTGGTGCTTCTTAGGCAAGAACTCATCACTTGAGCCACAGCCTGGGAGTAGCTCTAAGTGAAGGTAGTGGGGTACAGGAGCAAATGAGGAACAGTGGGAGAAAGCAAGAAATCCAGAGGATTGATGGAGATTGGCAACAAGAGACACTGAGTAGGGAGCCTTGGTGGCAAGTGGAACAAGGTATTTAGTACATGGCCACTCATGCTTCTGTTTCTCTTCCTTTAGACCCCATCAAGTACCAAGGTCTAGGTCGCCTCACCTTCAGTGGACTGCTCAATGCCTTGGATGGTGTGGCGTCCACTGAGGCACGCATTGTGTTCATGACTACCAACTATGTTGACAGGTAAGAAAGCAAGACTCTACCACTTCCATGCCTTGGGAGAATCATGTCAAGCGGAGCATCTCTTTTGGGGTACCAATAAGAATATCATCTGCAATTTTGCTTCTCTCAGGCTGGACCCTGCCCTGATACGCCCTGGGAGAGTAGATATGAAGGAGTATGTGGGCTACTGCTCACACTGGCAACTGACCCAGATGTTCCAGAAGTTCTATCCAGGACAAGCACCCTCCTTAGCTGAGAACTTTGCAAAACATGTTCTTCAAGCTACAAAGCAGATCAGCCCTGCCCAAGTTCAGGGGTACTTTATGCTGTACAAAAATGACCCTGTAGGGGCAATTGATAATATTGAGTCTCTGAGGTGAGCCACCAAGCCATCCTCAGCTTTCTTCTTGAAATCAATAAATACCTGCCACACTAATATGGTCTCTGATCTCCCTCCCTCTCTGTCAGAATTGAGTACAAAGCAGGGTCTGCAATCAGATGCTTACAGAAAAATGTTAGGTCACCACATACACAGATGATGGACCAGGGCCTAAGACCGAAGAGACAAGAGTAAACAGGAAGATACATGCTTTCATCTAAGGGTATCCAAGTAAGAAATACATATGTAAATGTGGGTTGTGTTATGGTGCTTTCTAAGGATTATCCCCATTTAATGTCAATTTCCCACTGTTTCTCTCTGAAACTGACTACACCAATGAAAAAGTCAGCCCCTTTCTACCCTGATCTTGGAGAACAGACTTCAAAGCAAAGGTGGGGGCTATTCTACCATTCTTGCTAGGAATTTAGACAGAGCCATATATACCTCACAAACTAAGTGCTGTTGAGCAAAGAAAGCCAAACAAGGCCAAGTCTCTTTATTTCCCTCCACCCACTCCCAATTCCCTGTCCCCCCACAGTACTGCTAGGAACCTTCCTCAGATTCCAGACCCAGGGGCTCCCTCCGACTGCCAGGCCGGTATGCTCCCTGGCCCCGGGGTAGATGGGTGTAGGAAGAACCCGGTGTCCGGCCTTTGGAGCGCTCCCAGCGAGTACAGTCCCGAGTCCTGCGGGATGGAGGGCCTTGCCAGCTGCTAGGTGCTTTGTCTTGGGGAGGACCCTTAGTCCCTTGGTTGTGGGGTTCTGGCTTTAGGTCCACAGGATCCTTGAGGGGGCTCTCAGAAGAAGGCAGTTCCTGGGTGTCACTGGTACCTTTCAGGGCACAGCACTCCCCTCCCTTCAGGTGCCGCCGATTGGATTGTCGCCAGGGTCCTCGACCAGACCGGGGTGGATCTAGCATGGCTTTCTGGGTCTCACCCAATCTCTGCTGGTTTAGCCCTGCCCCAGGATTCTTCTCACACACAAACTGAGTAGCCACAGGCAGAGGAGTTGGCAGGGTGGCCTGGGAAGCTGGTGAGGAAGACTGTTCTGTAGCAAGGGCATTAGGTGTGTAGGATCCTCTGGAGACCTCTACAGCTGACTCGGTTTCCAAAGGGGCAGGAGGCTGAAAAGAAAAGAGATGCTTCGAGGGAGATACAGTTCCTCAAAATAGGGACCAGCTGGCTCCCTCTCCGATCAGCTAGCCACCACCAGCTTATAATCTCTGGTAGAACAAAGTACACCCCGTGAGCCATGGTAGACCTGTGTTTTTAAGATGGCTGATGGTACTAAGGGACAAGTAGGGAACACTTCCTCACCTGCTGAAGGCTAATGAAGTATCGATTCCGCTCTGCTTCAAGATCAATAATGCCACCTCGCTCCTGCTGCCTCTGGTAGAGCCGCTTGAGCTCTTCCTGCTGGCGTAAGCTCTCGGCACTGGGTTGGTACTGCTCCTAAAGGGAAAGCAGCAGATGGCAGTGGGGATAGAGGAAGAGCAAGCAGTGGATATGAACCCCTGCTCTCCCAGAACTGCCTCAGAAGCGTGAGTTTTGTTCCTCGGTTGGGTTCCTGAGGCTTAGGCTCTCAATGAGGGCTATGGCTTTACTCAGTCTCCAGAGATCCCATTCAGGAGAGAAAAGATGCCATTCCTCCCTTCTTAGGAAATACCACTATTTCTGACTGATTACAAGTGTATCCTCTTACCATGGGTTGTTGGGGTTCAGGAGCTGCTTTCAGGGAAGCAAGGTCATACACAAGGGGCTCTCGGCACACAGGACACTGCACACCGACTGCCTTCTAAAACAAGAGGAGAATTCATCCCCAAGTCCCCATCAACCAGCCCCAGTGTTACAGAGGGTTTGGACTGTGGGGCCCAAGTGTACCTGCTCAACAATGAGGTGGAATGGGGTGGTAGCCTGGGAAGCTGTGTGCAATGTATGTGTATAGAAGGATGCCTTTATCCTAGGCAGAGATTTCATTCATCTCAAAGGTATTTATGACTCTAACAAAGGGAAAACTAGAGCACAAGGTGGGGAGTGGTTGTGAAGGCCTGGGGGGTCTATCAGGTAAGAGCAGGGTCTGGTGAGTCTACCTGTTTGGTGACGGCATGCTGCCGTTCCTGTTCCCGCTCCTGTCCTTGTGCCTTCAGTTCTTGCTCCATGTGCTGGATGTACCGAGCAAGGCAGTGGCAGTGAAAGTAGTGGTAGCAGGGTGTTTTGGTGAAGGCCTCCTTTTCCTGCAGCAAGACAGAAGTAGGGCATTGTGTCAGCACTCACTCACCAGCCCTCTTCTGCTTGTGCCAAACACAGCCCGGGTCCCAGCTGAGGAACTCACCTGGAAACCATAGAGGCAGATGACACACTGGCCATGGGGGATGTTGTTATCTGTGAGGATTTCTTTTCCTTTCTGAGAGGAGAGAGGATGCACTGTTCAAACATGGAGGCAGACTGTGTGCAAAGCCTGTCTACCACTCCCAGAAGTGGTAGATTGATTGAGCTTCATGCCCATCAAGTGAGTTTGTTACCGTGTATTTATACATTCCTTCCTGGCAATGCTTTGCTTGCAAGTAATCCTTTTTCTGCGTCCCTATCCCTCCCCCGAGATTTGATCTTCCCGCCTTCAAAATCCAAGTTAAGCTGGCACTGGTGGCTCAGTGAAATTTCTTGGAGTTTCCTGCCTGGGCTGGCTTTGAATAGCAATCCTTGGATCTCAGCTTCCTGAGTAGCTAGGATTACAGGCATGAGACACAGGTACTTGTCTAGGGTCAGATCTCTTTACTGAAGCCTTCTGCCCATGAAGCTAAAGACACAGAATATGGGGAATGACACCCTTTAGCCTTGCTTAGGAGGGACTGGGACAGCAATAGTGAAGCTTTCTCTACAAAGAACAGACCTATAATACAAATTTGCCAGTTTATAAAAAAGCAGTTGATCCAAAAGGACCAAAAGGAACAAACTGGCTAAAGTTGAAGTTTTGATTTTTTTGTTTGTTTTGTTTTGTTTTAAGATAAAGTTGAGCCAAGTACCAATAGCCCGTGCCTGTAATCCTAGCTAATCAATAGGCTGAAATCTGAGGACTGAGGTTCAAAGCCAGCCCAAGCAAGAAAGTCTTTGAGACTGTTCATCTCCAATTAACCATCAAAAGGCTGGAAGCAGAGCTGTGGTTCAAGAGGTAGAGCGCTAGCCTTGAGTGAAAAAAGCTAAGGGACAGCACCCAGGCCCTAAGTTCAAGCCCCAGAGTGGTATATATATATATAAAAAAGTTAAAGCATGGATAGCCCATATGGGCAGAGAAATGAAGATGCACTGAGTGGTATATTAAATGTTCATTCTCGGGCTGGGAAGGTAGCTCAGTAGTAGAGCGCTTGCCTTGCATGCATGAGGCCCTGGGTTCGATTTCTCAGCACCATATAAGCAAAAAGAAAAAAGCCGGAAGTGGCACTGTGGCCCAAGTGGTAGAGTGCTAGCCTTGAGCTGAAGAGCTGAGGGACAGCGCCCAGGCCCAGAGTTCAGGCCCCACAACCGGACCCAAAAAATACCGGACCCAAAAAATAAAAAATAAATAAATGTTCATTCTCATGACTAGCTAGTACTCTGGAATTCAGAGGTCAAAGTTGCATTATGGATGCCTGACTTAGGAGTGGTACAGTGTTCTAATGCACATTCCCTGATTTTAGGATACCCAGCTTCTCTTTACGACAACAGTTTTCTTAAAAATCCCAAGTAGAGGATAACAAAATTAACTTTGTTTTTCATCTCCAACAAGAAAAGTTGTGTGTTCTACTTGTAGTTCTGTATGTTGTTTCATGCTCGTTGTCTTCTTAACCAGAGAACACTCTTCAAGAAAAGGAACCAGGACTTCTTCTAATCAGCTCAATCAGATGGTCATCTGTTGCTAAAACCCCTCATTCCCACCCGTCCTGCAGGGCAAGATCTGTCTTTGCCTCTTTCACTTGTCAGTGACAAGAGAACGAGAAATGCACTGAAAATGGAGCAAGAAAAGTAATTTTCTATCAGGATGCTTAAACAGGCAACCTAGGGAAGTCACAGATGTTCTTTGTGGGAAATTTCTGAAATGTTAAGCTCTACATCAACAAGAACTAAATAAATGACTCCAGTTATATTTTTAAGAAGCCCTGAGGGAAAAACTGCCTAGCCTCAAAGGAATGACCAGGCTAGCATACCTTACCTCAATGAGTTCATACAGCATGGCAGTGCCCAGCCCTGCCTTGGCCACATGGCCCAGCGCCTGTGAGATCCTGGAAGAAAGTGAAGCTATTAAGACCTACCTCCTTCCCAAGGCAGATCTATATCCCATTTTTCTTTTTTGTTTTTGTGTTTTCTTTGGTTCCAAGGCTGCGGTTTGAACTCAGGACCTGAATGCTGTCCCTAATTTTTTGTAGTTGTTGTTGATTGTGGGGCTTGAACTCTAGGCCTGGGCACTGTACCTCAGCTCTTCAGCTCAAGGCTAGCACTCTACCACTTGAGCCACAGCACCACTTCCCATTTTCTGGTGGTTAATTGGAGATAATAATCTCAGGGAACTTTCCTGCCTGGGCTGGCTTTGAACTGCAATCCTCAGATCTCAGCCTCCTGAGTAGCCAATGTTACAAGCTAGCTGAGTTACAAGCACAAGCCGATGTCCAGCTGTCCCTGAATTTTTTTGCTCAACACTGTCACTCTACCACCTGAGCCACAGCTACAATTATGACTTTTTGCTAGTTAATTGGTGATAAGAGTCTCATAGACTTTTCGGTCTGAGCTGGCTTCACACTGTGATCCTCAGACTTTCAGCCTCCCAAGTAGGTAGAATTACAGTTATGAGCTACTGGCACCCAGCCAATATCCCATTTTCTTGCTCTGACCTGCCCAACTTACTTGTGGATTTGTTCATCTGAAAGCCCTCGGGGGTTACGGATGGAGATCTGTGGTACTTCCTGTGGATACTAGTGGAGAGAAAGCAACAAATTACTGCTAAAATGATTCTCCCAGGGATTGTCCTCTTCCTCCCTTGCTGCCATGTAGTAGATGCCTTACCTGCACTGGGACTTGAAGCACCAGT